CCTGCCGTGATACAAGAGCTGAACGGTTTTCAGAAGCTTTGAGGATCACCACGTAGGTCTGTACTCAACTGGGGTCTAAACACCTGCATCTTTTTCAGAGCAAGTACCAGATCCCAATGCGCAAAAATTCAAATCCCACATCAAAAGTAATGCTCGTCCACTGGACAGGCGAGAAAGCGAATTTGGACCTTTTCTGAGCATTCCTCCAGGCCGTTGCATGATTTGGCTCGGCCTCGACCCTCCCTTCTCTCGCTGCCGGCAGAGTCCGTGTCGCAGGTGTCCAGGATGGCTTCTCTAAGGCGCAGGGTGCAGCTGGCCGCGGTGAAGGACTCTGTTAGCCCTCGTGGCCTACCAGTCGGGCTCTCCTCGAAAACTCGGATACTCGGCTGTTCCGCCAGGTCCTCCGAGGAAGGAAGGCCCTTCGAACTTCGACCCATCATCGCGGCCAGAAAAGAAGGGTAGTCAATGACCCCGTTGCCCTTGAAGTCCACTTCACGAACCCACTCTTCTGCTTCCTCCTTGGAAATACAGCTTTGGGAACCTCCTTCGCAGAGTTGGCTGTTGAAGACTTGCACGAGGGTGTCTGCCGTGATGCAGCCTTTGCCCTCGATGTCGAAAGCATCGAACGCCTCACGCACTTTGTCCTGATGGAGCTTGACTCTGGTGGCCAGCAAGGCTGCCACAAAAGGTGTATATTGGATCTCATCATTTTGGGTAAAGTCGACTGCTTGAAAGATCCGGTTCACCTCTGCCGATGAGACATCGAGGCGAGCCTGCATGGCATCCCTTAGCTGCTCCAGCGTGACGGTCCCACGTCCGGTCTGGTCGAAGTCGAGGAACGTCTGCTCCAAACCTTCCAACTCGGTCGAAGTCAAGCTGTAAGCCAGGATGGTGAGGGTGGCTCTCCGAAGGTGAGAACCCTGAGCAAAGGTCCGCAGGCTCTGCAGAACAGATACACCGATATCAGGCGATGGGCTGCAGCCACCAGGCTTAAGCCAGGGATGCGCGAGAGCGGCAGAAGCAGACATCCTCTTTTGCACATCTCTCTGAAGTAACCTCATCACAAAGTCCTGCGCATGGGAGGACAGGAACTCCCAGCGCCCTTCTTTGGGAAAGTCTCCCTCCAAGATGGCTCGGGCAATCCGTGCGTTGTTGGCTCCGCGAAAGGGCGGTCGGCCTATGAGAAGCATGTAGCAGATTACGCCGCAGCTCCACAGATCGCACTTTTTGGTGTAGTTCCGGCTTAGAACCTCCGGACTTGTGTAGTGCAGCGTCCCGCATGGCATCTCCATCTTCGTGTCCTCCTGAATGATCTCGGAGAAGCCGAAGTCAATAAGCTTGATGCGATCTTGATCTTGACACGTGGGAGCTCCATACATCCAATTTTCCAGTTTGAGGTCTCGGTGGACAATGTTGTGGCTGTGCCTCGTTTAAATAAACTTAGGGGCATAAGAGAAGCCGAGTTACACAAGCACTCGCACCTTATCCGTCTCCGGGTTTGGCAGACAAGAGCTACAGGTAACCTAGGGGGAAGGTCTGGGGCGTGCCGAGGTGCAAGTAATTGATAGCTTGGAGCATCTGTCGCATTACATCCGCAGCATCCTCCTCGCAATAGACCTTCCGCTCACACAGCCTGCTGTACAGCTCACAGCTGCAGATTTCCATAACAAGCCAAACATACCGACGACCCTCATAGGCATGCAGTAATCGACAGATGTTTGGATGATCCAGTCGCAGGTATACCTCGACTTCACTCTTCAACATCTTCAGCCGATGCTCCTTTAAGCGGCGCTTGCGAAATTGCTTCACGGCGACCTGCCGTTTGGAGGACCGGTGCTCTGCCAAACATACCGCCCCAGAATACCCAGTCCCAAGCACCTGGGGCAGGATCTCGAAATCGCGGGTGATCTCCGCATGTACAATCCGATTTACCGGCAGCGAAGCCTTCAGCAGAGGATCCTGGCTTGGCACGATGCTCTCCCTGGATCTATATGCCAAGGCCTTCAGGCCACCCTGTCCCATGCATGCACAGCAAGGGGTCTACTTCTCATCCAGTGGGCACTGCATCACTTGAGCCGAAGATGAGGGCAAATGTGCAGAAAGCTCGCGGCGCTTAGACTTTCCCCAGCCCCTGCTGAGCAAGAGCTCGTCCCACCAATCCGGCTGACACCGAAGCCTTCCCTTCAGCATCTGCGTCCTGATGATCAGCATGCCAAGCTTCCAACGCGGGCCTGGCCCAAGGTGTCGCGCAGAAGCAACACTTCTCACATCACAGAGCACTGTGGTACGGCGGGGCAACGGGACAACCCGTGGTATGGCCTTTTGCATGCCAACTCAAAGCGCAAGGAACACAGACGAAGAACCTCGCCTGATGAGCTCTTGAAGGCAGGGCTCCACCGCAATTCGCGGCAGGCGCTTGATGTTCAAGTGTACGAACGGTACCTCTAAGCAAGAGAGAGAGACTGACAAGACTCTTATAGCCCACCACCAGAGCATAGCAGAGCATGACGGCGCACTGCATAGGTGCCCTGAGCCATAGACCTGCCGACGATGCATTTGCAAGACCGCGGGATTGCCAAGTTCTTTGCAAACCTTCTCTCCCTGCCTCAGGACATCGTCGAGCATCTTTTCGTTCGTGTGATCGAATGGGTAGCCATGGAGAAAGATCACCTCAGCATCCCGTGATCAAGCAGATTTGTCCCATGAGCTTCTGGCTTGTGCAGCTGAGGACAGAGCAAAGTCTGAGTCCCTCCACTTCGGAGACATGCAGTAGTGCCTAGCTAGCACGAGCTGGCAGCTTGGCTCCCGGAAAGTCCGCTGTGGTCGAGGCCGGTGTGGTGACTGCTCATTCCGGCATGCGAAACTTGAACCCAAGTGAAGCATCGCATCTCATGCTAAAAAAGGGAATAACGCGAGATTTCGCTGGCAGGGCTTCGCCGCCTGAACTGCCAAGCTGCACATAGGCCACATTCTCGAAGCCTTGTGGCTCCGCAAGGTTGATGGCGACGCTACCTGCTATCTAGAACCATACCGACTGAAATGCATGATGTGTACGATACTCTCCTGCTTCGGCTTTGTTGTCGACACCGGGTGATGTTGCAACGGAACGGACATGTGAAAGTGCAAGGCTATCCGTTCTTGCGTTGGCTTCCGACGGACTGAAACCCCCTCCCATTTGCATCTTGCCAGTATTATCTGTGAGGAAGCATGCGAAGAAACACTGCACCTTGGATATCAACCTGCCCCTGTGTCTTGGTCCCCACCTGGATGCAGCACCCCAAGATGGAGGAGCCGGTCGATCAGCTGCTGGCCGGCCATCGCTTCGGTCTCAGAATCTCCTGGAGAGAAGCACTTCTCGTAAACCAGGAGCCGCAGTTGTAAGCCTGCAACTTCCGGGGTCCACTCATCCCGGAGAACTCTTCCCAGCCAGTCCAGGACCCAGCTCACGTCTTCTTGGCATCTGACGATCACAACGTCGACCAATGGTCGTATGATCGATGCCTCTTTCCCCAAGTCGTTGGGGCATGATCTTTCACCCAAGACTGCACAGCTGAAGGCCTGTCGCCGGGCTTGCAAGATCTGCTGAAACTGACTCATGGCTGTATTCAAAGGCTCAAAAGAACTGAAGTGCGACAGCATCTCCGTCGCGGACTCCGGGGCCCCTTCACGGCTGTGCACTTCCCAGGTATGCTGGAAGTACTTCAGCAAGACTGCAGGAGGCACCAGCAGCGTCATGTACTCTGCATACATGTAACTCGCCAGCAGCACCATTGCGGAACATTGAAATTCCAGCATGTCGCTGCCGGACATCACATTGTTGTGCTTGGATGCAGGTACAGCCAACATCAATGCAAGCAGCCACACATCTTCCATAGGGGGTTTGCCACCGGCATAGAAAGCCAGAGCACGCTCTTGAAACTCAGTGCCATCGAACGTCCACACGATGAGCTTTTCTGGGGAGTTCAGCTTTGGAACTGTTCCGCTCGTGTTGACAGCAGCGAGGATCTCTTCGGCTCCCATTCCCATACCTGCGAGTGGTAGAAAGACGCCCCCTTCGATGCTTGATTTGGGTGGCACTCGCATGAATCGCATTCCGCAGACGAGCCGGGGAGTCAACCAGGAATGATCCCACAACTGCACCTGGGTGTGTCCAGCATTCCACCATCTTTCGCGCTCTTCCGCCAGTGCCTGTTCCAATCCACCTGAAGGCTTCACAGCAGAAGATCCCTCAGTAGAGCCGTCGCCATTCGAGTTTTGTATGGCAAGCTAAAGTGAACCCTAAACCGTAGACCCTAGTGGCCCCCTTCCAAGAACTTTGGCAAAGGCGTGCCTTGAGCCTGAGCTAGTCCCCAAAGGAGTGGCAAAAAGTGCCATGCTGTCAGCCGCATCGCTGACGAGCATGGCCAGATGCTTGATGCTCAGCCGGCTTGTCTTTGGCCAGCATACGGGAGTTTCTAAATAGTAGCAATACCTTGTTGAGGGGTCCTTGTAATCAGGATCCTCCTATTTGAGATGTATTGTTTAACTCTATAAACTGCCCTATGACCGTTTTGACCTCTACGTCATTATCTAACAAGATTGGCTAAGCTGCATGAATGATCTTGCCACGTCTGGTAGCTGCAGGAATCCATTCATGATGCTCCATGTCGTTCAGCTGCCAGCAAAAGCACACCAAAGACTCTTGAAGGGTAAACCCCACAGCAGACTGGCATCTGGTAGCAGGCAGTCGGCACCGTGCTGCCTAGCACGCATTTTCGTAAGCGAACTGCTTCGAAATGATCTATGGGTGGAACGATGCGCCTTGGGCGACAATTCGTTAATCGTTATCACATGCACGTCTGCCCGACGAAGATGTTGGATTGGATCCAAGCGTGTACTTTGTGGTAGTACGACTTGCGTTCAGGCAGCCGCGACCTCTTGAGTCCACAGCTACCTCCAACCATGATCTCGCTACTTTGGCAAACTCACCTGAGGTGCTGGGACCGAAGTCGTCACGCCAGTTAACCCGTTGGCCTGACGGCAAATTCTTTGGAAACTCTGAGAATCTTTGCACCCACGCCGCAACCGCACTTGCAAGGAGCCTCCCACCAGTGCTGGGCCTGCCGGACTGGATCCTGCGTTCTCTGGCCATTTCGTCCTGGCGGTGAATTCTTGCTGTTCAGGTGCCGCTGAGCATAGGGCGCACCCAAAACGGCATCGTGTGAGACAACGAGTTGCATGTACGTTCGAGCTGGAATCGTGCATTTCCGTCTGCAGACACCGAGTCTACCGTCAAAACCTTTCGTTGTTCATTGTTTCTTCTTTGTTTTCGGCGGCTGGTGCGACGAGGATAAACTCCCCTGTGAGAAACGAGCCGGAAGATGTCTCATGAGAGGGATCGGTAGTAGGCTTACGGACTCCAAGGCGGATGTACTTCCATACGTAGTCCTTCTAGCAAACCTTATGGAACCCCGTATAATACTCTTAAACTACCCTTACAGTAATTCTAAAACCTAAGCCGTGATCCGAAACTCGAAATCATAAACCCTGGACCCTCGTCCTAAGCCCTCAAACCCTTAAACCCTAAACCCTAAACCCTTAAACCCTAAACCCGTAAACCCTAAACCCTTAACCCCTAAACCCCTAAGCCCCTAAAGCCCTTAACCCCTAAACTCCTATGACCCTAAACCCTTAACCCCTAAACCCCTAAACCCCTAAAGCCCTTAACCCCTAAACTCCTATGACCCTAAGCCCTTAACCCCTAAACCCCTAAACCCCTAAAGCCCTTAACCCCTAAACTCCTATATGACCCTAAGCCCTTAACCCCTAAACCCGTAAACCCCTAAAGCCCTTAACCCCTAAACTCCTAGATGACCCTAAGCCCTTAACCCCTAAACTCCTATGACCCTAAAGCCCTTAACCCCTAAACTCCTATATGACCCTAAGCCCTTAACCCCTAAACCCCTAAACCCCTAAAGCCCTTAACCCCTAAACTCCTATATGACCCTAAGCCCTTAACCCCTAAACCCCTAAACCCCTAAAGCCCTTAACCCCTAAACTCCTATATGACCCTAAGCCCTTAACCCCTAAACTCTTATGACCCTAAGCCCTTAACCCCTAAACTCCTATATGACCCTAAGCCCTTAACCCCTAAACCCCTAAAGCCCTTAACCCCTAAACTCCTATATGACCCTAAGCCCTTAACCCCTAAACCCCTAAACCCCTAAAGCCCTTAACCCCTAAACTCCTATATGACCCTAACCCCTTAACCCCTAAACCCCTAAACCCCTAAAGCCCTTAACCCCTAAACTCCTATATGACCCTAAGCCCTTAACCCCTAAACCCCTAAACCCCTAAAGCCCTTAACCCCTAAACTCCTATGACCCTAAGCCCTTAACCCCTAAACCCCTAAACCCCTAAAGCCCTTAACCCCTAAACCCTTAACCCCTAAACTCCTATGACCCTAAGCCCTTAACCCCTAAACCCTTAACCCCTAAACTCCTATGACCCTAAGCCCTTAACCCCTAAACCCGTAAACCCCTAAAGCCCTTAACCCCTAAACTCCTAATTGACCCTAAGCCCTTAACCCCTAAACTCCTATGACCCGAAGCCCTTAACCCCTAAACCCTTAACCCCTAAACTCCTATGACCCCCCCCCCCCCCCAGCCCAGTCCCCTTGGCGAAGCCGCGCAGCTTTCGAGGACCCGTGAGCTGGAGCCTGGCAAGGGAGTTTCCGAAAATTAGGGGTACCTTTAAAGGGATCTATAAGGGTTCCTTTAAGGGTTCCTATAAGGGATCTATAGGGTTTAGGGTTTAGGGTTTAGGGTTTGGGAGTTTCCGAAAATTAAGGGTACCTTATTTTGGGGTCCTTATAATAAGGATCCTACTATTCAGGGTACCATATTAGGGTCCCCTATTTCGGAAACTCCCATCTGAATCATCTAGAAGGGGCCCCCACCCTGTAATGGTGGTATAATAGGAATATAGTGGGGTGGGGGCAGCTTCTAATGAATCACTTACAATGACCCTAAACCCTAAACCGAAGCACTTACAATATATTCACAATGCGTATTTATAAGTACGCAGATAGATAGACGTATAGATAGGTAGATAGGTAGATAGATAGATAGACAACAGATAGATAGATAGGTAGGCAGCTATAGATACATATACATGGATACACACACATATAGTGTTACATACGTAAACGCATGCATGCACTCATGCATGCATAGCACGACATAGCATATCATAGCGAAACATAACACACAAGTAGCGTAGCACATCAGTGCACAGAACAGCATAGCATAGCATGGCACAACATGCGGTTTGTATATACGATGCCAAAAATCTAATACAAGATGTACATATCTGTCTGTATGTATATCTATATACATATATATATAGAGAGAGAGAGATACTCATACTGCAAGATTATAGGGTTTAGGGCGGACCGGATTTCTTAGGGTTGTAGGGTGCAGGGCTAAAGCTGAAAGGGTTTCGGGTTGAAGGTTTGTAGAGGCCCCGTTCAAAAAGCCAGCCAGCTCCACGTCGACCTCCTCGTAAACGAAGCCAGCCATGACCTGCGAGACCACTCGCTGACACAATCCGAAAACATCCCAAGATCGAAGCTGGGCAGATGGCGCCACCATCCTTCAGTTCACCTGCCTGGGCTTGGGGTGTCAGGTCGTCAAACGAACGACATGAAGAGCAGCTGTGTTCTGAGCTTGCGGCAGCCAGGGGATCATCTATTGCTGGTGCACCGATGTGCAGTTTCTGCGTTTCAGAAAGGCACTTGTGGATAACGTCCTGCATGAAGGCATCGTGACAACATGTGGAAAAAAGTCGGAGCCGTGCGCTACGGGTACACATGGCGACAATGCTCAGCAGCTCTTCCGGTCCCGGATGTGTGAGCGAAGCTGCACGCATTGATCCAACCTGGAGATACTCTTGGTTCAAGGCCCGCTGCTGCGTGCCCATTGCTCCCAATACTTACCTTCGGTTAGTAGGGAATGGAAGAATGGTAGTAATAGTAGTTATAATTGTACCCCATTCCTCCATTCCCTACTAACCGAAGGTAAGAATACAGACAACCAGAGTTGCGCTGAGCATGGGTTCACTGTCGGCTATTGGGAAACCATAGCCGATCTAGGCATACATAGGCATACTATCTGCAACGGAGGAAGATACTGCCCAAGGATATAAGGTGATGTACACCATACTATACTACGAAATACTATAATGCACTAATCCTCTTCCTTCAGTCCGAGTTTGACTTGCGATCTGGGTCTGCACTTCGACTTGTACAGTTTGCTGCTAGGGGCTAGCTATAAAAAGATGCAAAATAGTGCAACATAATGTAGTATAGGCCTAGGTGTTCAATGACAAGGTTACCGACGGATCTTTGCCAATTTCGTGCGCAGGTTCCGCAATAATGTGTCTCCCTCCTCCTCCCTCCCTCACCGCAGCACGCTTCATCCGGATTCAGTACCCCTACTCAGAGCCTGGCATCTTGCTTCCATGCCTCCAGGGCTCAGCACATGTCTAAACCGCCTCCACCCTGCGACAGCCTTGCAACAACCGGAGCTGAGAACACGGCTGAAGGATTTGCTGCTGGTCGCCAAAATCCTTCAGTCGCCCTGCGCTTTGTTGGAGAAACTTAGCCTGGAGCAAGTGGCAGCCACAGAAGTCGCAAAATGCACGCTTTAGAGGATACCGAGGTTCGGATCTGGCTTACAAGATGTCCTGAACCTAACCCCTCAACCCTACACGGCCCGTTTACTCCTTCAAGCTCTCTTTGAAAGGAAACCTCAGCCCTACACTTCTTCAGGCTCTCTCTAACCCTAAACGCCTTAATCCCTAAAGCCCTTTCAAGGAACCAGCGCCTCTTTGCCCACCAGCCCGAGCTCGTTGTCCAAGGACTTGAGCTCGCGGGCGATGATGTCGAGCTTGAAGATGTCCAGCTCCTCCGCTGGGCTCTTCTTAAGGGGCTTAATTTTAAGTTACCATAATAAGGATCTATACTGAAGAATAAGGTTTCCGTAACTTAGCTCCTCTGAGCCGGGGCCGAGGTAGAGCCAGGTTTTTTTTGCCAGGGTTTAGGGTTTAGTAGGGGGTTACTATGATATCATAGAGGTTGAGCAAGCAAGAGATTATCTAGAGGGCATCTAGAAGGGGGTTACTATGACATCATGGGGGCTCAAGTTGAACACGATAGGGGCAAGGATAATTATGAGGCCTGCCATACATGATAAGGGGGCTTCCAAATGGACTGCTAAAAAACTACAAGAGCTTTCTAGCAAGTCTTCGCTAAAACACGATACAAGCAAGGACTTCTAGACATTGAAGGGTTCAAGCTTTTAGGCTATTGGGGTTACTAGGGGTTCGGGCCTTTGGGGGGGCCTTGGGCTGCTAAGACCTTGGGTAGATAGTGGTTCTTCTGCTCAGAAATGCTCGTTGATGATGGTATTTCGGAAAAGGCTGTTGCGTTTAGGGTTCAGGTAGCCTTTAGGGGGTATAGAGCCTTTAGGGTTACTAGGGGGTTACTATGCATCCCAGGGCAGCGGGCCTTGTACTTGATGGCCATCATTCGCTCTCGCTCCAGAGCCTCCCGGCTCGGCTTCAGGAAAGGGCTCCCTCCTTAAAATGAAGAACCTACGAGTTAGGCCAGTTAGGGTCTATAGAAAAGGATCCTCGCCACGGTTTCGGGTTTACATAGGGGTTTAGGGGTTTGGGGATTCTTGCCAGACATCCAGCAGTCTAGAGGCAGGTGCGTGCAGGCTCTTTTCTCCACCTCTTGGCAGTGACGGAACGATGCAAGGACTGAACATGCCTCGAGCCCGGCCAGAGCAAACAGGATTAACGGAGGTGCGAAACATCACTCGAACCTTCGTCACCTGAATGCCTTCAAACTCGAAGCTGAAAGCTTCAAAACAATTGTGCCCAATGCCGTCGCAGCATATCGGCTCAGTTGGTGTTCCTTGGGAAGCAGGAAGGCGAGGTGATGATAAGTGTACATGCCCCCACTCCCCTAATCCTACACCCGGGAGCCCAACCCTAAACCGTAAAACATCTCAGACCTTAAATCTTAAATGTGTGTCTTCCGAAAACCTCAGCCATACCTTAAACCATCCCTAACCGTGAAGCTACATGCTAGACTCCTAGACCCTGAGGTCCCACCAAGGCTCGCCAAGTCTGCGCAGCTCTCCTGCAAGAGCGCTGCTCTGTGCGAGGCGGGAGCAACAAGTGTCATGCGACGCTACAAAAAAATAACAAGCCTACGAAAAGGGTTTAAGTTTATGTTTGAGTGTATTGAGGTTAACTCGGTGGTTACGGCATTATGGGGTGTAGGTGCTGGGGCTTCCAGGGATGTAGCAACAGGGTCCTTCACTCGCTTCACCATGGAACTCTCGCATTCACGGATCCATTTGCGCGGGTCGTAGAAGCCTGAGCCAGGGTCACAAGATGACCTGGGTACATAAAGCCTACCCCCAAATCGTAAACCCTAAGCTCTCAAACCCCAAACCCTACACCCCGAACTTCCCTGACGAGCAGCTCTTGTTTGGCTTGTCCTCACCCTCCGGGTTGCCGATCTGCCCCTGAAGGTAACCTCGAAAGTGGAGACAAGGCTTCCTTCGGGGTCCAAAGCGGATCAAAGAACCGAGGAGAAGGCCTTCCTTCGCCTTGTAGAACTTGAGAAGGCCCTCCCAGTAGGCCCACTGCCTGGGTTTCAAGTACAATAGCCTCCCTTTCTACTGCCTGGGGTTTAGGGTTTATAGGGGCAAAGATGCAGACGCTGCCACTCGGTCCACGTCCCAGCTTCAGCTTCGAATCCGAGGCTGGTACGTGTCGGTGTCCACGTTCATCTTCACAACTCCCGCATTCAGTGCCTGAAACCAAGAACGTAATGCACAGTGTGTGCGTATGTGTATACATACATATGAGAAGGTTATACCATGCATGAAACCTATGCATCTGTATGTGGGCGTAAATATGTATATGTGCTTGCAAATGCATGTACAAACCACATCAAGCGAGCTCTGTGGCAGCGGCGGTGGTGATGTGATGCTTCTCAGATCCGGAGCCCCCGTGGAAGACAAAGTTCAAAGGCCTGAATAGGCACTGAGGCACCCTGGAAACACCGTGGGGCCATGGGCCAGTGGCTGGGGTCCTTCGGTTGTCATGTAGCTACGCGATGCTATGCTGAGGCGGCTGCCGCTCAATGTCCTGTCCTGTCGTGGATTTGATCTGCTCACGCGCGTAGACCTGCATGTCCTGTCCAGCCACCGAATTTGGGGCGGCGGCCTCCACCGCAAAAGCCGGTGGCATCCGTGCATACAGAACGAAGCAGATGGTGGCAGCATACTGAGTGGTGAGATTCACTCTGCTCTCGATGGTTGCTTGAGGTCGCCCTCCGAACCCTGGACGAACTCTGACCCTGGGAGCACCGGGCAAGCGAACTCTCGCAGGCTTCTGAGCATGGTCGAACGGCTTGGGGCTGCTGGTCGCACGGTTGGAAACCATCTTCCATAGGATAAGGACAATCATGACAAGCGGAGGCAAGAACAGGTTTTTCTGAGGCGTTCCGGAAGCACCGTAAATACCGATGTTCTCGGCACGAAACACCGACCGAGTGTTTCGGCGCTTGAAAAAACGTGCGTTTGGAGGCGGCGAGAACACCTACGGCACGGGTACATTCGGCACGTGGAGCAACGGCAGCAGCAGCAGGAAGAAGAAGAAGAAGAACAGGGTGCCCGGCACCGAAGACGGCCATGGAGTGCTAAGGGGTCCTCCAGCAGCTCAGGCTTCAGGACAACGTTTCCGGCCTGGAGAACTCCGAAGAAAGAGGATCTCTCACAGCCGTGGTATGTCGGGCTTCCGGGCTTTCAGGGCTTCCGGGGTTTCGGGCTTCGAAGATGTGGGGTTCAAGGTGCGGTCTTGAGAGATTGGGGTTACGGCTTTTCAGTGGTTCAAGGCGTTCGAAGTGCAGGGCTTTTGCCTTTGGGGCTCAGGGATTGCAGAGTGGTGTTCTAAGGGCCGGGAGGGGAAAGGGTGGGAGCCTTGTAAACGCCATGGACGTTGCCGAAAGCCGCCGCGATGGTGAACCTTGCACGGTGTCACGAAGTTTCAGAACAGAGCTCGCCGCTCGAGTTCGGGAAAGGTTGCCGGGACCGTACGGGGATGCTCAACAACTGCTGATGACTGCTGATGCACTGCTGCTCATCACTGTTTCTAAGAGTTTTCCATAGACGACAGAAGCCACGCTCAAATAAGGTCTCCTCAGTGTCTCAACGAGGCTGTTGGTCTTTATTATCTGCAAGCACTGCATAGCATTGAGCACGGCCCAAAGGCAGCCAAGCAACATCGGGGAGATGGGATTCAGGGCCGTGTAGACCGCGAACACATCCGCAGGCGTGGAGTACAGCTTCTCCTGAACAGGAGTGACAGCAGTTGCCCGCACAGTACCGGGACAGGTTTGCACAAGCCTTGGCGGCTCCGCTGTTGTCAACGCCATCTTCCACTCCACCAGTGATTCCAATCTCCATCTCCTAAGCCAGCAGGGTTTATGACGTAAGGTTTGGGGTTCGTGATGTAGGTCGCAGAAATCACCGTCTATCAAATCAAGCTCAGCATCCAAGATTTGCTTCATGGGGGCCATGCGGGTCAAGTACCTGTGCAGCAGGAGACAAAGGATGCGTTCACCCTCGCACCCTCCTTCTAAACCTGTAAACCCTTGAGCCGGAAGGCCCTCAGCAACCCCAAAGCCGGGCTCTTACTTTGCGCAGATGGCAATGTTCTCCTCATCGGGCTCCTCGGACCTCAGCGTCGCAGTAACGTATTCCTCTCGAGTTCAGGGTTTCGTGTTCAGGGTTGATGACCATGGGATGGTTGTGGGAAAGCAGGTCTCCTAGCTTCGGACATAAACCCGAACTCCCGCCTTGACCTAAAACCCTAAAAACCCTACAAGCCGATACAAACCTGAAGCCCGAAATAATAATAGCCTGAAGCCCTGCTAAAATGGGCTTCGGACAGGTCCAGCATGTGCGAAGAGAAGAGGGGCTCACCATGCTGCTTGAAGAATGCCTCGTCGGCTTCGAGCATGCCTAAGCAAGGCATGGAAGCACTCGGCTCGGGATTCTATAAAAAGTTCCTTTAAGGGCACTGCAAGGATATTGCAAGTGATACGATGAAGGTACTGCACGGGATACTATAAGGGCTTGGGCTTAGGGCTGTAGGGATTGAGGGCTTTGGGTGTCGATCCATTCCCCCTGCTATTCAAACGTCCCACCCGCCCGGCAATCCGTCTCTCCCTGGCAGCGCCTAGCCTCGGCCATTCTAAACAACTTGTCTTCCGGCGCGTTCCGGGCCAGAGTCTCCCCGAAAACAATTTTGAATATAGGGTGGGTCTTCATACTCCGGTGAAGGGAGTATTTGTCACTTGGGGCTTGGGGGCTTCAGGGGCTCTGTCTTTGAGGGCGGCGCCATCGAACCAAGGCAACAGCTTCTTGGCGCAGTGGTCGGAGTGCACGATCACCTGGCCAGGAATTTAGAATTGAAAACTCCTTTAGCGTTTTGGGATTAGGGTTTTGGGTTTAGGGCTCCCGGGTGTAGGGCTTTTAGGCCGAGGGCTCAAGGTCTGTGAAGCACCAGTAAGCAGGCAGGGAATGACCGGGATGCCGTAAGCAGGAGCAACTGCACGGACAAAGTGAGCTCCGGCAACAGCTCCCAGGATAGAGGCCTGGCCGGTCATAACTCCGATGTCAGCGTGAACTGCCCGGAACATCAGCTTGAAAAAAGGAAGTATATACTACTATACTACTATACTACTATACTACTATAGTACTATACTACTATACTGCTAATACTATTACTACTAATTATTATTACTATCTTCTTCCGACGAATTGGCCAACAGGCTGTCCCATGCAGGTTCGAATTAGAGGCTCAGCGCGTGGTGCACAGGTGGCTACCACTTCCTCGGTGGTGCTTGTTAACGTACTCTGGCAGTGAAAATGCAAGCAGCCGCGGGCTCAGAAGGACAGAGAGGGTTTCGGACCTGGGCAGGACCATGAGCTCCCTTATATATAGATTCTAAAGATAACAGCGGTTGAGGCTTGAGAGGCTTCAGAGGCTTGAGGCATCGACGACCACTCGGGCCCGGGTCTGCTGGACATACTAACTGTGCGGTTCCTGTGGCAGGCGAAAGACTTTCTTTGCTTGGCTATAAACTCTGGGCTTGGTCCCCGCCTCTCCACCAGCTTGGCCGAACACATCTCGGCACTGGACAAGCCTGCTGTGGCACGTCCGCATCACATCCCCGTGCCGCAGGCAAACCAAAACATCCAGATGTGGCAAAGGGGCTTCCAATGCTCGCTGGCCGCATTTGCTGGCAGCAGTTCTCAGCGTACGAAGGCCCCTGAGAAAGGAAGTGAAAGCAGCCTTTGCAATGCGAGAGATTCCACAAACATCTTAGACGTCGACGCCCTCCGTGAGAGGGCCTTGAAGAATTTCCACCTCCGACAGCAGAAGGGGACTTGCGATGCCAGGGGTTAGGGACTTGGTGCCTGCCTCATGGTTGTCGATGACACACTTCTGATCACCTGAGAAACATGGGGCCAATGTCAGCAGAACTGCACTTCAGAAGCTGAGGCTTCCGCACTGATTTCGACACCCAGCACAAAAGACCTGACCAAGAAGAGGCGCATAGCCGAAGTCCAAAGTCAGAACCGGGGGGCGACTAAGGAGACGACCTCTACCTCAGTCCACTGTCTCCAAAGTTCGCACATAGGAAGTACCACAGAAATCTCTAATCGGAGCCGTGCTTTAGGCTCTTTAAACGCTGGCTTGAGCCTCAAAGGATTCGGCAAGACTTCGGCAAAAATCGGGTAGGACCTGTACTTTTTGTGGCTCCTGTCCAGTTGCAAGCAGACTGGCCTGCAGCTTGCCCTTCTCATTGGGCAGGGACTTTCCTGCGACCTCACCAAAGCTGCCGTTTCGGATTGCTTCCGCCCTCCGTTCTCTCAGAAGCCAAGGTGCAAAGGCAGCACCACCCTCGGAAAACTGGATCATGACAGGTCGATTCAACTCCTGCGCAGCAGACGGGCAGGAACGAGCAGTTCACCCGCAACTTGACCATTCGGATCATGAGCCCGGCCCCTTAAAAGCGTTTAGGGTTTAGGGTTTAGGGTTATTAAACCCCTGAAGTTTAGGGCTTAGGGGTTCTTAAACCCGTGAACTGCAACTGACTACTCTGACTACTCTGACCCTGGGCCTTGCCAGCTTCGAGCACCGAGTTGATGACGCTGGAGCCTCCGCTTCTTTCTCTGCCAGGGGCAAAAAGGTGAAAGGCGCGGAGGCTCCCGAGGCCCCGGCTGGTGCAGTTGAAGGCAGGGATGGCATACTTGTTGGCCTCCGAAGGCATCACGGCTGGGTCTTCAGGCAGGGTTCCGAGGCATACATTTTGGGGGTTTAGGGATTGCTGGACTCCCCAGAAGCCCCAAGAATTCAGATCTTGCCTTGGCATGCTGGAGAAGCGCCCACGCAAGGTCTCCGGTCACGACGCCTGCCTTGGCAGGGTGATTGGGGACATGCTTTTTTCAGCACCTTGCTCTGCAAGACTGGCAGGCCTTCATACCCGGAATGTCCCAGAACCTCGGAAGGGACTGCAACACGATCATCCGGATGTTGCCACTGCAACAGTTTCTACAATAACGTATCGAAGAATCACCATGCAGCAACCAACTCTGACCCGTGGGCCCGCAAGTCTCCCTGTCATATACGAGACGACTTATCCCACAGCGTTGCACATGAATGCATATGGCACCAGGATGTCCCAATTCGAGATGTGCGCACCGCAGCCCAATTCGAAGTCCCGGAATTAGCATCGGTTGAGTGCTTGAAGTTTGCTCAATTGCGTATATTGCGTGTTGCAGCCGAGCCACGACATGACTGAAGAGAGATTTGAAAAGGACGCCAAGCAGTGTTTGCAGCAAAAGCTTTGAGCCAGCTTGTGGCAGCACGATCCAACTTTCTTCACGAAAAACATCCTGCTACAGCACACCACGATACACCACAATGCACCGAGAAAGCAAAGTCCGAACCTCTTGGCGCTCGCGCTCCTTCCAGGGAGTGGCCATCAGTCACCGATCAAGTGCGAACTGCTTCTGCCTTCTCTTCCAGCATAGCACGGAGCTCTGCCAACTCACTATCCACGTTGCCCTGGCGGTTCGGGATACGGGGCTTGTCCAAGCTATTATCGTTGCCATGACTATCATTTCAAGCGTTGCTATCAATATTAGCATTCTCGTCGTAATCATCAGCATTATCCGGGAAAACCCTTACTGTCATTACTTTTGTTGTTGCTCCCTAAACCCTAAACCCTAAACCCTACGGCCTTGGCTCGCATGAGCGCCCGCAGTTCGGAAGCCTCCTGTCACAGAGCAGCGATGGCCGCGGCCAGGGCGAGCTCGGGGCTTTTTAGTCTTGGTAGTAAGTAGTCATCACAACAGCAATCATAAGCATCGTCATGACCATTATATATATATATATATAGATATATATATATATATATATATCATAATCGTAGAATCATAAGAATGCTAGTATCAAAACTGATCATCATCACCGTTATGCTCGTAACTAGTAGATCCATAAGAGGAATAACACTCATCATCTACTACTAACTAGTAGATCCACATACGAGGAATTAAAAACTGCAGCTGTTTTACTCCAAGCCACACTCTTCCACCTCTTTATCGACTCGAGGTCTCCAATGGCTTCGAAGGCCGCCAGCCTCGGTGGAAGTTCATTTTAGGGTCTAGGGTTTAGGGTTTTAATTGTTTTATGGGCCGTTTTCCAACTGCATGACAGCTAGAAGTCCTTACCAGAATGAGCCTGTTATTGGGACCTCTGCTAGGCAAGAACGGTTAAGGGTTTAGGGTTCAGGCAAGGCCTTTACGGCATTTTGCAGCTGTGCCCCTTGCCGATCGCGCATCTGCTTGGCCTCCTCTCGCGCTCTGGCCTCATGCACGCACGCCACCAAACACATGCAATCCAGCTGCCTCCATGTCTCGCAGCCTCAATACAAATGAGCCTATGGCGAGCTCCTCGTCCCTGCGTCTCAGCTTCTCCTCGGCCTGGACACAAAGATCAACTCACGGATCCAATGCGAGTCGCTTCAGAAGTTGGGAACGTCCCGGTGTGCCTCATCCAGCCTCGACGCTTTGGCCCGCAGATCGAGAAGCTCCTGCAATTTCAAGGGCTGCATTCATGCTGAACGCCGCGGCTTTCCCTCAACTCCAGCTGCCAATATCTGGCTCTCGCTCCTTCTCTCCAGAGGTGTGGCCTGCCAGGAAATCCCGCATGGCCTGGAATCGAAGCCGCCACGAGGCTTGACTTGTCCAAACGTCAACGAGCCGAGCTGCGGCAGCGCTGTCCAGAAGATACTCCAATCCCAAGTCCTTGAAGGCCTCCAATGCATGAAGCTGCGCTGGGCTTGGCTGCCAAGGCTTTACTGAGCGAACCACCTGACGCAGCTTGGCATAGTTCCGCAAAAAGCCTTTGAGGTTGTATGGATCCTCCAAGGAGTCGCGGTGCTGTTGCGGTAGGGTTTACATACCGCGTCGCTGGACACCATTGTCGACATAACCTCACATGGTATGATACTTATGCTTTTCTGACCACTCAATGTGGATATCATGACTCAACAGTCTGAGTGAGCGATCTGAAAAGCGCCGACTTGTTCGTTACATCTTCTGAAACCCGTCTCATCCCACATCCCATGTCAAGTCAAACTTCCTCTGATCTCGTCAACTGCCCACTCCGAGTAATGAACAGCATGACATGAAGCAAGGAGCACCTCGAACAGCTCCGAGAAACCATATTCTTCAAAGGCTTTGCGCAGTCCCTGCAGGTCGCGTTTGCTCTGCGATCAACCTCCATGCCCTGCCGGGCCAGGAAACTCCATGAGCCAGCCTCGTATCTTGACAGGATCTCTTCCAGCAACGCAGGGTCCTTGCCAACTGTCATCCGGCTCTACAGACTCCCTCCGCGCTAAACAAGGACTCGGACCTTGAAGGCATCGCCCAGCCCGTATTTTTCGAAGAGGTCACGAACCCTCGGGACCACAGTCCATGGACAGAAGACATCCTGCATGGCCTCCGTAAGGCTCCAACCGTCTTAGCAAATCCAGGCTCTGCTTGAGCTCCTCAAACAAGGCAAGTCGGTCAGGCAGCCTTTTGCATTGTTTCTAGGGGTAGGAGTAGGCGTAGGGGTCGGGGTAGGGGTGGGGAGTAGGAATAGTAGGAGTAGCACTCGTAGTAGGAATAGTAGGAGTAGCAGAAGTAGGAGTAGTAGGAGTAGTAGGAGAAGTAGGAGCAGCAGGAGCAGCAGGAGTAGTAGGAGTAGGAGTAGCAGTAGTAGTAGTAGTAGTAGTAGTAGTAGTAGTAGTAGTAGTATTGCATTGCACTCGTCGGGCCGATCCGTGGCGTCTGACGAAGGACGGACCTTTGATCCGGCGGCTCTAGGCCGCACCACATTTGTGGCTCCGTGGACAACCTTGCCATATCTGGCATCCTCCTAGTCAAGCTCGTCAAGTTCAATAACACAGCCCTGTACAAAAGGATCCATAGCATCATGCTGCGCACTACTTGCATCGACATCTGTGGCTACGGCATCCGGCTGATCGACCTGCTGGGGCTCCATATCCGTGCTCTGCATGTGGCAGGATGAAGAAGAGGCCATTGTGCCAGTGCCCGGAGCCGGTATAGCCTGCAGAGTTTCGGTAGCTGGGATCATCTGCTGTCCATGCACGAGGGATACTGCAGCGGGCCGATAGTTCGTTTCAGAGCTGTCGGTTCGCATTGCAGGGTCCCGGCTTGCAGTCGGCTGATCATGGCTTTGCTGCTGTGTGGCATCCCTCTGAGGTGCATCGGTCCCAGGAGGAATCATGCGGCCCATGACCAGGTTGCAGCGCCGGGTATGCACATATCCGCCTGGAGTGCATCTGGAGCAGCATGTCAAGTGCCCTACGCCAGCTTGTCTGGTGCAGCCTTCGTTGAGGCACTCGGTTGGCATTCTACGTGCCATCCGCTGGCCCGCCTGTGCATGTCGCCGCTGATGTCGGTCACAGCGACGTGTGTGATACCCTTGTCCACTGCCACATCCGGAGCAGCAGAAGGGCTTATGCAGCTTGGAGTATTGCCGCTCGCACCCTCGACGACTGCAGTGTCGCAGCCGGCCTCCATCGACGCCCAGCCAGGAATCCATCCAGACCTGAGCGTGCAAGCGCAGAGGGGTGGAGAGCTGGGCACGGGGTGCGGCTTTCAGGCAGCGCGCTGCATCTTGCTGCACGGCACGTGGTGAGGTTTTGATGCCACTCGGCACTCATGTCTGAATTCACTGTTGGTCTGTCCTTTTTCCTGACATAGGGTCACGGCTTGGCCATAGCCTAGGCCAGGCTGTACAAATTCAGGAGAAACCAAGCTTGTGAAGTGGGAGAGGGCAGCGTGGTTACGTTATGGTCACAGGCTCAAACTCAAGCTCTATCTCAAGCGCAAACTGCAGGTTCAGTGTGAGGAGTGTGCACTACCAGGCAGATTGGAACGAGGTGCATCAAGTAGCAGGGGAAGGTTAGGGCAGGCAGAGACCCTTGCAAATGATGAAAATGATCCCTGGAAACCCAGCAAGAGCTCAGGCATGCCGTTGCTCTAGACTCCATCGTAGAGAATCGGCGGCAGTAATGGCACCGCTGGTGGTTTGGGTAGTTGCTCCCGCGATGGTGGGCAGAAGCCCAACTGATCCAGCGTTTGCCTCAGTGGCTCTCCCAGGGAGTAGTAGTTCCTCACGGTGTAGGCCACGAGGGTGATGCGGTTCCCTCCCCTCCACTGTGTGGTGCAGTGGAGCTGGTTGTGTGCTGAGAAAACTGTGGCGCAGTCTTGCAGCTTGTAGAGACATCCGCGCACCATGTGCCCGTCAATCTCCTGATAATCATCCCCGTCAGCGGTTTGAACCCACAGGTCGCCGCCTTCGAAATAGGTGAGGGCTATCATTGCATTCGGGGTGGGCCCGCTGCCACTGTCTTTGTGAGGCGGGAAAAGACAGTTGAGGTGAAGCACCACGCTCGTCCAGGAATGATGTGGTAGCACATGGATGACGAGGCGATTCAGGAGCCGACACAGGCTCGGGTATCGCAGTGTGCCCCGGCAGATCCCCACGAAGGCATGTTTGGAGAAAGCGCCCACCGTGAAGCTTCTGGCATGGAATTGTTCGCTGAGTTTACCATGCCTGGCCTTCTCAAAGTTGAGGAGCAAGATTGCCTGGCGGACTGCGCTCCAGAGAGATCCTTCATGCCCTCCATCGCCCAGCGTATCGTGCGCAAACTGTTCAGCGGGTGGTATCGGTGTGGGAGGCAATGGCATCGCAGGAGGCATTCTGGGTCCATGAAGGGCTGGCATAGCATCACACAGCTGGCCTGCATATTGGTGCAGCTGGTGGAGCTTGTCTGCCGGTAGCTCCGTGGCAGCGTGCGCCAGTATATCATTGAAGGCCGCCATGTCCACTATAGGGAGGGCAGGCTGTCCTGTATGTTGTAACATCAGGCTGCTGTACGCTCCCCGCAAAAGGTGCTCGGCTAGGGAATCTTGATAGACATCCCATGGGAGCTGGAACTGCTGGGCCATGCGTCTGGTGGGAATCCCCGCAGTTGCAGCTACAAGAAACTACGACCAGGGTAGCAGTGTTGAGCCCGGCGGCTACCCTATAACTGAAGCCGGTTGCTGTGTGTTCCGTCGTACTCTGCAGGCGGGGCTCATCGCGACTGTGCAGTGTGCAGGCTTGCACTGAGGGGCCGGCCACTGGGCCCGCAGAAACAAGAGAGTGGCTCCCTATAGGCTTTGTTTGAGCTAGGCAGCTACCCAGGTGCATAGGCTGTGCAGGGCCTTGGTGTCATCGTCGGATTTGCAAGTGGCAGCATCAAGCGATAGGCATGGAAAAACGTTAAGAAACTTGGCTGTAGGTAGAGATACTTGTTGACGGGCTGCTTTCGGGACGTCAGCTGTGCGGGCCATCGGTGCTTCAACCGAGGCCACTATGGAACTCAGGTCGGTAACGCGTTGCACGGCGACCTAGCCGTGCTGAGGGCAGTGACCTATGCTGCCCTCCGCGATCCGGGCTAACAGCGTATAAGCACCGCAAGATAGGAGTTTGTCTGCATTTGCATCCTATCTTGGGCATTGGCTCTACGCGGGGGCTTACAGTCGTCGCAGAGGTATTCTATCCAGGGGAGGACGGGTCTTAGAGGCACCGGATGACCTAGATAGGTTTGGTAGTGTCCTTCGTTGACCTTCTGTCCTAGATGTAGGATGACAGCTCCTATCACGAAGTCCTCATAACGCACTGCAGTTCCCGCGTCACTGCAGAAGACGGGTATCCGCAACACCTGTCCAGGATGCAGTGGGATGGGTGTAGGGTCCTTACTTAGTCTATCGTTCGTGGAGTACCGGCTGAGTTGGGTCATTAGCACACCGGAATGACAGACTATTGCATGTGTGGCAGGCTGCTGGTGCCATTCGTCAATCATGGCTTGCAGGCCTCCCGGTGAAAGGCGTAGTCGGAGCGGCGATGTCAAGTCGCCTGCGTCATTGCACACTGCCGTGCCGGGTTGCCGCGCTTCCCATCGACCCTGAAAAGCCCCAGCTTTGATGTGTTGTATAACGAAGCTGGCGAAAGCACACACATCATGCTGTTGATTAGGCCTAGGCCACTCACGGAATATGCGGTGCCAGTGCAGTTGGGATGTGATCGTCAGTGGAGTTTTGGCAAGCAATGGTTGCAGGCCCGCCTTGCACAGGCCTTGGCAGGCAGCCTGTGCTCCAGTGAGCTCGCCAATCCAGCTGAGGGCCTGCATGAAGCTGTTTATGTAGCATTGTTGGCCAGGATTTTGCAGGGGTGCTACTGGGAGCTGCGGGGTCCCTTGGGCTCGCATCCTGACTGCATCATGGACTGTGCACTGCGTGGCCTCTATTTGTTGGCGGCCTGTGTCTGGCGCTGGCCCCGTGGCTTGCTGGGTTTCCAGTCGCAAGACTTCGTCTGAAGATATGCATCTGCGACCAGCTTCGCGCACGGCTGACGAGCAGCTCGCTCTGGCCTCACCCGGAAGCCCAAGATCTTGGTGGCCGCGCAGCCGCTGATGCGGGTCATGGCCGCGTGGCATTGGTGTGACGTCGGGTCTCTGAACCCGAAAGAAATCATGAAGGGTTCCACCTCGTTTTGGGACTCCTCTTCCAGCCCTCGGACGGCCTGGAACCTGGTAAGGTTGTTGCCCGTGGTCACGTGCTGCTCCAGGATGTCCAGCTGGGAGAGCAGGTCCATATGGCCGATCGGAGGCGTGTCCTTCGCCACTTCCTGTGCTTTCAATGTGGGGTTCCACTGAAAGTACTGCCAGCGGGGATTGAGGGCTGTGTTGCCCTCGACCAGCCACTCCATGGTGTGGGCCTTCTGAAGTTTCTCCTCGTCGTTCATCAAGGCCTGGAGGCGGGTGCGGAACTCGCGGATCAAGCAAATGAACAGGATGTGGCGGAGTGGGCTCTTCACGAGGCCCTGCTCGCATTTCTCCTGCCAGTCCAGTGCAGTAGCCCGAAGCTGGGACAGGTAGCCGTGGTCGCTGACGTCGAAAAAAGCCATGAAGCCCAGGTCGGGACGCATGCGGCCTAACTCTGCCTCGTGCTTCAGCGAGAGTTTGGTGAGAGCCTTGAGTAGCTCCACCGTCTGGGAGTCCATGGCTGACTCCGTCTGTCCGGAGCTCTGAGCAGCCTCCCAGCCTCGCTTCTGGGCGCCTCCCCACCAGTGTGAGCCCTTGCCCTGACCCCATTCCGGCTTCCTCCACTTGGGCTTCCTGCCCTCTTGGTCCCAGCTTTCCTCCGCTTCCATTGCTTCCTGGTCTCCGTCCTTCTTCCCCCCGAAGAACTCCGTGACCTCCTTGGCCGCTAGGCTCGGCTGCGCGTCCTCGGTCATCTGCTGCGTGATTCGCCTGGGCACGAAGAATGAGGCCACATAGATTTGCTTGGTACAAGGCAGGACAATGTTTGAGGTGCGCACGTGGGTTCTTGTACTCTTCCGCGCAGTACCGGCAAGGGCTGAGGCCTACGAGACCTATCGTGGTTTGGCGAGCCACTGCTTCGGCATGGAGCGCGGCATGTGCTTTGTGCATGAGCCGGATGTGCTGCTTTGTGCCAGGTCCTTTCATGGAGATCCATTGATTGCAGATGGCACAGTAATTTTTCAGCTTTAAGGCATATCTCGGCGTACGGAAGACTTCCTTCCAGTTCCGTTTGCACGAGGCCTGAAAATCCGGCTCTTCCAACAGTGGCTGGCTGGGCTCCGCCTGAGGGGTGCGACCTAGCAGCCCCTCGTGAGAGGGAAGTACCTGTGTTCCCTGCTCACTGGCAGAGCCCGCCACTGGCGCAGGACGGCCCGACGGGAAAAGCACCGTGCACGCTCCTTTGAGGTGTTTCTTTAGCCCTTCTACACGTTTAAATTCAGCTCCACAGTGCCTACATTTAGGCATGCCGTCAACCGTATGGGCAGTGTACTGGCGATTATCGATGCCGGAAGGCTTACTGGGAGGGATGTGTTCGGGGTGCTTACGGGAGAGATGGGCTAAAAGAATTCGCCGATTGGGGAAGTATTGACCACAGATGTAGCAGGATTCACCATCTACGGGAGTGATTGGCACTACGCTTGACCGGCTGGTGGCAGCTGTGGCCGCACTGTCCATCTCTTGCAGGAAACGCAGTTGCTCCGTGAACAGCTGCAAGCAGCACGGCTCCCCTAGCTTCGCAACCCTGTTCTTAAGAAGCTTATGCAGGGTGCTAGTGGGAGAGTCAACCTTAAGGCGGTGTCTAAAGGCTTGGTTTGATTCCCGCGTGAGATGCACAGGTGAGCGGGCGATAGCGCGCAGTGCACGTGCATCCCAGGATTCCAAGCGTTGCAGCACCGTCGTGGTCACACCGACAGAGTGTAGGCCATATAGGATGGTGCTTTTGACACATGAGCTGTAGAGTCGGAGCCGGTATCACAAGCTCAAAACATTGGAGTGCAGCAACCTGGCCAGCCGTTGCCTGGCTTGGGCACCACTACGTAAACGGTGTCGCAGCGTCTGCAGCTCGAACCCGGCATACGATGCAACGATGCCTAGATAAACCATGCTATGGGTCCTAGGGATCCAGATGGGTTGGTGCGGGCTGCCAAAGTTAATGTAGGGCTGATTTTGCACTTTCTGGCTGTTGCATCGTAGCCACCGGTGGGCCGCGCTGCCTCGCAGAGAGACTACCGCCGTGGATTTGGAGGCATTTACGGTCATGCTGCATTCACTGAACAGCTGAAAAGTGGCTTGCACGCATCTCTTTACGAAACCTAGTTCGGCTATGGTGTGTATCTCCCAAGCAAGGTGAGAATCATCTGCATAGAGCGTGACAAGGTTATCGGCCCATTCCTTAGTCGTTCTATCACTAAGGACGCTATGGAACCATACAGTGAAGGCAGCGTACAGCGTTGGAGAGAGTGCACAGCCTTGTCTAACTCCACATTCCATGGGGAATTGGCCTGTTTTCCCACCGTGCTGAACACTGTACTTACACTGCTCATGTATGTTGAGGATGAGTTCTTGCAAAGGCGCGTCTACCCCTACGTACGCGAGTGCAGTTTGCAGGATATGCCGGGGTAAGGTGTCGAAGGCACGGCTGAGGTCGAGGCTGATCATCAACCCCCCTACACAGGTGGCTTCACTCCGCCCTGCGCGCTTCTGGCTGACACTAACCACGGAGTCCTTTAATGCCTGGCGAACTCTACGGCAGTGCATGGACACCCTGGCTATGGCTTCCTCAATGGAGCGGTTTTGGCTGTATGCAAACTGGGGGCATTGCCGAAGGGTGTGCCCTGCTTGCTCGACTACCTGATCCCTTATCAGGGTGGCTAGAACCTTAGAACTAGGGTCTTGGAGTCCTATGGGGCGGAGGTCCTGTGGCTGCCTGCCTGCCTTGTTAGGCTTTGGCAGCAGCGCCAGGCTGCAGTCGGTGACCTGCTCTGGCAGTCTTTGGCCACCTGCCTGACTAGTCTCGAGCAGGCTGCAAAACTTGCGAGCCATCGCATCTGGGCACAATTTCCAGATCTCGGCTGGCACACTTAGCTTCGGAACAGCTTTGCCAAGTTTGAGTCGAGAGATTGCGGATTTGATGGTCTCTTCGTCGTAGGTGATGGGTGTCGATATGGGGGGACACTGAAATTCCTGTGACCTACTGAAAGCCTTGCTAAAGTAGTCGTAGATGGCCTGAAACTGTTCCGAACTGCTCAGGAGGTGCCCTTCGGGGGACTTCACATAAACAGAGGAGTTTTGCTTTCTGGGTGCGAGCAGAGAGACCACCCTATAGACCTCAGCCTGGTCATGCTTTTGGGCAGCAAGTTCAGCTCGTTCGATTTGGGATTCGAGCCATTGCCGTCTAGCGCGTTTACCAGATTGCTTGACAGACCTATGCGCATCCTCGAAAGCAAGTTGTCGCTGCACAGCTACGGAAGCTCTCGCAAACTGCCCTACCGGCCGGGGTGCCCGAAGGTTTTCATGGGCCTGCCACATGTGCGTGATAGCGGTAGCAGTTCCGGGGTCGCGACTGGGGAGTTTATGGCTGCTAGGTTTTTTGGGGAAGTATTGTTTGCACAGCTTCAGGATTTGGGTGTTAAGGTGCAGCAGGTCCTGGGTCGGGTCAGAGGCAGCTACCAGCACTTCAACCTGTTGCTTCAGTGTTTGCGCAAGCGGAGTATTATCCACTACATGTTGTCTAAGATCACGCAGGGAGTATTCGGGTCCTCGGGGGACGGTTGCCCGTTTTTTGAAACACCAGCCTGCAAGGAAAGGTACCGACGCGGCCACAGGTCTGTGCTTCGGTCCACGACGCCAAGGTGCAAGGTCCAGATGGATTGGCCTTGCCTCCTTCGTGAGTCGATCTGCGACCCCTCGCCTGACCATTATAAAGTCCAGCTGCGATCGATGGTCGCCATTGCTGAAGGTGTGGCTCTGCCCCGGTCTTGCACTGCCCCAGCTGTTTGCCATAACCAGCGAGTTCCCCGTCAAGAGTTCCGCAAGTTCTGGGTCAGCATGTTGCCGTGCCTGTCTCAAGAGTCCACGTCCAACCAGGCCAGGAATGGAGCAGCACTTGGAGTTGAGGTCTGCTCCAATGATCAAAAGATGCCTTTGCGGCAGGCGCTGCAGCAGGTTGCCCAAGGCCGTCCAGACGCGCTGTCTTTTGGCCTCGATCTCTGCTTGCTTGTGTGCCTGCCAAACCCATTGATACACTGAGACCAGATCCAGGGTCTTGTCCTTTTGCTTGCATTGAACGTGCAGGATCCTGCCAGGTATGCAGACCACTTGGGTGATCTCCGACGTGTTCACCAGTTTGGGGTGTATGCAAATGCCAACCCCGCTGTATCGGTTGTGAGGGTCCGCCGAAACAATGATTTGCCAGCCATCAATTTTCCAGCTTCCCTCAGTACGCCCACATCCCCAGTGCAGCTCTTGCAGAAAAATAATCTCCGCCTGTGTTTGGCTCTTGAGCCACTGCGCAAAAACATCGTAGAGGTCCGAAGCCATGCCGCCCACGTTGTACGTCAGTACGCGTAGCCGTGCTGTAGATGCGCCTCCCGTGATATGCGGTGGCGGGAAGTGTGGTGGTCTGTCCTTTGCAGAGGACGACGCGGCAGTCCTGGCCACTCCCATATCGTTGGCCGTGAGCCATCTTCCTCGATATCGGACCCATCCATCTCGAGCAGCTGTATTTTGTGCCCGTTTGTATGATCGCTTCTGAGTCCGACTGTATGGCGTGTTCGTTGTCCGGGGTCCAGATAGTTTCGCCTCAGTGCCAGGGGCAACTGAAACTCCTCGGTCTGCGGTGGTACTCGACCGAACCCTCGGGTTTACCGGGCCAGCTTGTTCATATATAGCAGCTGCGCTCATGCCCGGCCGCCGGATTTGGGACCAGCGCTGACCAGAGCCGACCAAGCCGATGATTGCAGGGTAAGTGCTGAGACCAAGCAGAAAAAGTCTAACCAGGCACTGTCCTCCCATTGCACGAAGAGGCCCCTATCTTCTGGCTGAGTCTCCGGCCGAAACCCTTAGTAGTAGTAGTAGTAGTAGTAGTGGTAGTAACAGCCGCTAGAACAGAATGCCAAGGCATGCATCATGCGGCATGCATGCCTCCAGCTTCGACGGGTCGCCAAAAACATCCCCGAAGCCAGCAGCCTGCAATTGCCCAAGGGCCACCACTGCCAATCAAATTGCTTGGGCTCCCAAAAATAAGAAATATAATAATCCAAATACTAATATTCATAATAATTTAAGGGTTTAGGTTTAGGGGCTTGACTTGGACCTCCAGCATCTCCTTCAGCTGCTTGGCTGACTGCAAGAAGTTCTTGAGCTCCTGACAGCTCTCGGACATGCAGAACACTGACAGAAGACTTCCTGGGGCTGTCCTCCGGATTCTTCAAGAGGTGCTCCAAGCCTAAATCTGCAAAGGCCTGTGCCCAGTTTTGAAGGCCGAGGGGGGGGGCCATGGCACAGCACAGGGGGACACAGCAGTGCCTCCAGGACCTGTCGAAGCGCCTCTGCAGACGGAGCACGGAGATATCACCACAATTCGCCACACCTATGACTCAAAAGCGTCCCCCGCCTCCGGGTTGTCCAGGAAGTGCTCCAAGCCCAGATCTTTGAAGATCTGCCAGCTAGAGGTCTAAATGCGTCCTACTGCTGCCTGCTTGTCCCCTTGCTCATTCACAGTTCTGAGCAACCCGTGCTAGCGCCTTCTCGAGAGACCGCGCCCGCTGGAGAAATCTGGCCAGTGCCTGATGGCAGAGGACAGCATATATATATATATATAGATAGATAGATAGATAATATATATATATATATATATATATATACATATATATATATACATATATATATACATATATATATATATGTATATATATATATATATATCATAGACAGCACCTGTGGGCTGCCAAGCACAGTCACAGGCTTCAAAGACGCGCCTCTGGGTCATCCATGAGCTTACCTGACCCCAATCTTATAAGGTCCCGATGCCAGAGAGAGCAGGGCCGCGGCCTAGGCCCATTTCCTCAAACAGCTGCCGGATGCCGTCCAGCTCCTCCTGCGAGTGGCAAGTTTCACATCGAGCAGACAAGATCCATGCAATAAACTTGGTAACATCACGTCTAAAACCCTGAAGGTCGAACCGACCCGGCGGCCAGCACCCTTGTGCGAGCTTTCTGCACAGATGGTAGACGCAAAACTTGGAGTTCGCGTCAAACTTGCTAAAATCTCTTCAAACCACTGAACCCGTCGTCCTCGAGATGCTTGCATCTGGCCTCAAGCTCCTCCTCTTGAGCCTTGGACTTGGCAAGGTCCGTGGCGAGGGCCTGGATGTCGGGAAGTTCGGAAGGCACGAATCTCCGATGTCCATGCGAACTTCTCTTAAGACCACGAGCCGCGCCATTAACAAATCTGGATGTCGATTCCTCCCGAATTCCACAGGTTTGGATCCTCAAACCTAAGCACTCAAGACAGTCTCCCAGTTTGGACCCTTAAACTCAAAACCTCAACACAAATGGTCTCTTCGGGTATAGTAACTAACTCTATAGTCACCTCTGTGCGAGCCTCCAGCTGTGCCCGGTACTCCTCAGCAGAGACAGCCAACTCATCCTGGCAAGGCTCGGAGGGTTCAGAGTTTAGGGTATTGGGTACTGGGTGCAGGGTAGTAGTATAGTAGGTGTCTGGGCTTCGGGTTCAGGGTTCGGGGTATAAGTATAAGGTTTCGGATGTAGCTTGAAACGATTCTTGAAACGATTCCCCGCCGCCTCTGCTCCAATCAAGGGCCAGCTGGGGGAGACTGTGGGAAAGGCTCTTGCATTGAAGGTTATGTACTAGTTTGAAGCCCCTTGGAAACGAGACTTCGACGGATGGAAGCTCCTCCAGCTTCGAAGCTCGCTTGACGAACTCGTCCATCCTCTGGGCTCGCACCTGTCCAGCGGATCTGTTGGTCTTGCAAACAGAGATCTTCAAGGCAGCAAGGTCTCCTGACATTTTACAGTTGTTCCTTAAGGGCGTCGGGTTCTTACTTTCGTCTCTCTCTTTGCCTCCTCTTCCTCCTCAAACAGACGATTCGCTGCTTTGAGCTCGTCTATGGAAGGGACTTCCCCGCGAATGGTGTGCCGCCACACTTTAAGCTTCTTGTCGCCGATTGAGGTCGACCAGACAATCTTCGTCTCGATTCGATCTACTGTAAGCAGGTTCGAGACATAAGGATCGTGTGCAGGATGTTCTGCAGTCTTGAAGAAGTCGGATTGTGAAAAAACCTGTATGTTGGGATGGTGACCACATGTCCAGACTTCGTGGCCCAAAGGGACAATTGCATAGGCCCCTTTGGCAAAGCCCTCCGGCGCGATCTGCCTGAAGGGTAGGCAACTCTAGGCTTACAAAGGTGAGAGTTGGATCGACTCCGGGCTCAGGCTCAGAGGTGATTATTGCATGCATATGGTTTGGAGCCCCCACACCTGACGCATTGGCGCTCGGTTCCACCGATGGTCCACTCCCGGATAAAGCCGTCAATGCCGGAGGACCAGATGAAGGATCTCACGACGGAAAGCTTGAGCACAGAGCCCGTGTGAGCTTTCTCCACAACCTCGTTGCAAGCACCAGTTGCCGTACACCAGAGGCGGATAGTCCCGTCGTCCGAGCCCGACCAAAGGGTGGGGCCAATGCGAATCATACATCGAACACCGTTCTTGTGTCCGTGCATCTGCAGACCCTTTGAGATTGCGACCTTGAACTTCCCAAGCTCCAAGACAAAGGCATCTTTCACCTGAGGACCCTGGTCCTTCGAGTGCCAGGTCTCGATAGTCCACTGCCGGATAGTGAAGTCGTTGCTGCCACTCCAGGCCCTTCTTCGCGGGATGTGGCCCTCCTTCATCTCGGAGGAGTCGAGAGCATCGCCTGAAGCAAGGCAGGTCACACCCCCTGTGTGGCCGCCCATCAAGGATCCTTTGAACTCCTTGCGCTTGGTGTCGAACAGGGAAATTCCCATTGCTTCCTGGCCCATCCACATGAGGTGTGGCTCCATGTGAAGCATTGACCAAACAAACCTCATGCTGGTGCCGCGAGACATCTCTGACGGCTGAATTTGGAATAGGATCTTACACAACAACCGAACGATGCAGCAAGGGCCAAACCACAAACCTGCCAGCAAAACCAAGGAGCCGGTTGGTGGGAATCTCGCTTCGCACCTTCGTCGCATCATCTCTCTCGCGAACGGTGACATTTCCGGCCCAATCAACCGTCCAGACTTCAGTGCCGATGCAGATTGCATTTCGGACGGCCAAACCCATCTCCAAGGTCTGCACACAGCGAAAGCCTTCCTCATCCGTGCTTTTCTTGCCCAGCTTTGCAGGGGTGCTCTGGCTCTTGGTGCTTGAAGGCTCGGCAACAGTAGTAGCACCAGACAGTGAAGGACGCTGCGAATCCACTTTGGGCGGGGCAGGGGCCGGCTGAGATTTCTTTGGCTCCTTTTTGGGCTTCGCCTTCGGCTTCTTCTTGGAAGCCTTGCCCTTTTTGGTGCCGCCGGAGGGCTGTGACGGGGCGGGCGCCTCGCTCGAATCAGGCGCTGCTACCGCGGCCGCTTGGGCCGTCGCCACTTCGTCGGCCGTCGCCGCTTCCGCCGTCGCCGCTTCCGTGGCCGTCGCTTCTGCCGCAGCTGCTGGCTCTGTCGAGCTCGGCTCGGCTGGAACGGCCGGAGGCTGAGTCGTCTCAGGTCCCTGCGATTCCTCCGGTATTCTGCCAGGGGGAAGAGTGGTCACTAAGTCAGTCTTCAAAGGAGTTTCACCAGCACTCATCGCTGCTATCAGCTGGGTTGCCTCGTCTTCTTGTCCCTCGTCCGCCTCGTCCTCTTCAGCGTCTTCATCGTCTTCCTCGTCGTCTTCTTCCTCCTCCATGTCATCCTCGTTCTCCTCCTCATCCTCGTCATTGCTCGCGTCCTCCTCGTCTAGCTCTTGGTTCTCTCCTTCCTCATCCTCGCCTTCTTCATCGTCTGCTGCCTCATCCTCCGCCGGCTCACGGCCCTGCGCATGACTCTCCGGGCCATCAAAATCATCTTGATGAGTGTATTGCCTCTTGATCTCAAGCCGAGCACTCGCACCCAGAGAGGCGTTCAAGCTCTTCGTAGTCGTATTCTCAGCGACCTTCTTACTGCGCCCAGCGAAGACCCGAGCTCTTGGAGGCGCCTTGGCCTGGCCCACATCCTCGCGAGCCTGCATCGCAGCCTGCTGCTGCTTCAGGTCCTCGAGCTTCTGGCTGTAGTCCTCTCGGAGGGTGGAAAAATACCCCACCATCTGCTCCAGCACTTGCGTCCGAGCTTCTAGTGTGCCGCCAACTTCGGGTGGCGCATCAGCCTGGGCCTCAGGCTCTTCCGCAAAGGACTGGCGGATCTGGAGATCCTGCTGCACCTGCCCCAGAGCAGCAGCCAACTTCCTGGTGCCCAGCAAGCCTCTGATCTGATTGATCTCCTGCTCAAACTCGGCCCGGTCTATCCGGTAGTCCTGGTTCTCATCGACCCTAAGACCCGTTGGACCCTTCTGTTGCACCCTAACGTTCTAACACCCTGCACCTAAACCAAACCCTACCCCTACAAGCCCTTTCCCTTCCACAGCACATGCAAAAAAGCTTGAAGGCACAAACTTGAAAGCCCCCAAAACGGCCTGGTTCTCATCGATCCGACTGAAGGCCTCCTCGGGATCAGCAGAGAAGTCCTCGGAGAGCTGCGCCAAGAACTTCGCCGTGCTCTTGAACTCCCGCAAACCGATGGTGTCCTTCGAAGGAGGCTTTTTACAACGGCTCAACTGAAAGAAGATGATACATGTGTGTATGCATATACGTATGTATATATTATCCCTATATGGTATGTATGTATGTATGTATGTATGTATGTATGTGTCTCTGCGTGTGTGCCTACCTTCCTTGCTACCTACCTACTTGCCTGCCTGCCTCCCTGCATACCTACTTGCCTGCCTGCCTACCCACCGACCCACTTACCTACCGCCTGCATGTACGCATACTAAAGCAAGTGTGCACATACATACATACTGTCTATCGTAACTAGAGATAATGAGGGTTATTAGTGTGATTGGGATATTATAAAGTTGAGTCAACTTTTCCACGAAGTTTCGTCCTTGCCATTGGCGAGAGATTGGAAGACCTGTCCCGTGAGCTCAGCGACCTGCGCCGCCTCCAGCGGGCCGCTGGCAGCCAGGCTCCGCGGCGTCGGCTCCGGGGGCTCGGACATCGCAGGTTCTCGAGTCGTAGACCACCGGAGGCCTAAATCCTAAACTCTCCACCCGGAATCCTAAAGAAGCATGACCGACAGGGCATTGCTTGTAATGTACAGAGGTCTTTCGAACATTGCATGTCTTGAAACCGCCTTCGCCATGGAGACAAATGCCCGCTTGTGGGAGTACCAGCTGCATCATTGAACCAGCAACGTGCAAGCACTCTCTCGGCGGTGCAAACTTGCATCAGTCCACGGCTCACCAGCTCCTGGCGTCAGCATCTGTGACTCCAGAAAACACTGATTTTGCTTTGATCCTTCTGAGGTGTGCGGTGCTCATGGAATGCCAAGCCGGAGCCCTCTCTTTAAGAAGGTCCACGGAAAGCAGCTGCGATCGAAGGAAAGGATAAAAACTCATGAAATGTGGAGTAGACAAGTTGCTCATCAGCAGCTGCTCGTTCTAGATATCCTTCGTCTGACTGCAGACTTCTGTAAAGGGCTCAGTCTGCATCCTAGAATATGGAAATCTGCATTCAGGCCATTCTGCGAGGGCGGACACAACACCAAAGAGCATCAATATGGAATTCATAAAGGAGCTTCCATGCTTTGGCCTTCTTACTTTGCTCCCTTAGATGTCGCGCGTCGTCCGCTACTGCCAACGAGCAGCCGTCATTAACTGCCTGGTGCCCACGCTGGCAAACCAGAGAAAAGTGCTTCTAAGTGCTAGCGGTGTCGTCGGCGGCGTCATTCCGCCGATTTCATTGGGCGCGTTCGCCAAATTCAGAAGTCGCAAGCTTTCCTTGGCATCTGGAACAACTAACCTCCTCAGGACTCCGCACCTTTCAAAATGCTTCTGTCCAGCTTCTGTGTCAAACATTCGTTGAGCCGGTGGAGTCTTTCGTCCCGCGCAACCTCCGGAAAGCAAAGGCTCTGCTCAAAGCAGATGGAATGTGTTTGGAGATGCTTGGGGCCTCGTCAAAGCTGACTGCCATGACTTCTTGGCAGGCCGCCGATCAGAGCCTTTTGCAGTCGTGGCCTGAAACTCAGAGGCCACACTCTGATGCTTCGCCGCTTCGCCTGTTGACTGCAACTCTGGCCTCCTCAACGATGATCGCCGCCGCTTCCCGATTCTGGTCCAGAAACTTTTTCAACCTCACATCGATGGATCTCCTGGGCCCTCGTCACTTTGAGGCTTCTCTGGGGGCAGGTGCTCTGCAAGGTCCGGGAACAGCCTGAAGACAGAACCTTAGAGATCTTCCACCAAGAGATCCAGGAGTCATGGGAAAAGCTTGCTCAGAGCTGGGCTCGTGAAGGGAGTGACCACAAAGTCAATGAAGCCCAAGAGCGACCTACACGGCCATGAGCGTGAGCTGAGGGCATGTCTTGCCCTCAGCTCCCCTTCGATATACTGGTTGGCAAAGCTTCCACGGCCGACTGAGCCAGAAACTTTGCTGCCACCTGTGGCTCATGAAGCCCCGACATGAAGGAGGTCACCTCATTCGCTGCCCTTCAGTGAAACTTCTTTGTCGAAACTTCAAGATGCATCTTGGCCTTACATTTGCGGACTCTACGGAGGGACAGCTGCCGGCTGTGCCGGATCCGTTCGCAACATGTTCCGGCTGCTGTCTGCCACTAACATGACGCATGCAGCCCTGAATGTCGTGTTTGCAAACTATCAGACCTGAACTTGGTCTCAGACCGGTAAGCCCAGCTCCGCCTCCTTCTCAGCCTGCGGCAGCTCTCACCAAGCCACAAGCTCAACCGATCTTGACGGTAAGCCTGAAGAGAGAACTCCTCGTTGAGGCACACAGCCCACCTGCCGCAGCCAACACAAGCGGCTGCAAAGGATGCGCTTGTTTCAGATGTGCCATCATGACGCAGCTCATCATAACCCTTGAAACTTTACCAAGCTTCTCTCGTTCGAAGCCATGCATAGGACTACCGCTGAACGCGCGCAGGCAAGAATGATTCCTGTAACAGCTTTGGGGTCTAGATTGCTGTAATTGGCATCGCAGCACATGCTTCGTTTCATGCCTCTTGGACTTGTCAGCCGGCATGAAGGGATTGCTTATGTCTGCCTGCAAGAAGGCGAAGCATCCGTGCTTTCGTGCAAGGATCCTGCTGCGCTGAGGCAAGGGCTGCATGCATCAGAACCTCCACGAGAAACTGGCTCTGCGAGTCGGAGGGCTCTCCCCTTAAATCCAGAAGAGCATAGGGCAAATTCCCCAAATCTTTGCTTGACAGAAGTGTTTGAATAGACAGAAGTAAGGTGGGAACACCTCGAACTCCGTCAAGATGCCGACCTCACGCTTCCCAAAATTCGGCCACGATTCTGGACCCGAGGCCACCGAGGCCACTGCATGCTCACCGTGGTGCTTCATGTCTGTGGCGAGGATGCCTGGGGTGCAGAATCCGAAGATGCCCACTTCTTCCCTAGGAATACACATGGGGACCACATGGGGACATGCACACACCTGGAAGGGGCGGCAGAGGAGACGGGAAGAGAGAGGGGGGAAAAGCCTGCAACCATCCTTTTGCGGACGAGGTTGTAGACTTCGGGACCAAGATCCTGAAGCGACCATCACCAAAGCGCTTGCAAGAAAAGCTTGGGAGTTTGGTTCACTTGTTTGCGAGTCTGAGGCTGGACCTCAAAGATGTTGCAGTCCACGCCATTCAAAGCCGTCTCGAAGGCCCTGCGCATGTTTTTTCTGAGACAGCTCTACGGTGCCTTGTTCCGCTAAGCATTTCCGAAGTCTGTGCCTGGCACAGTGATGATTCTCCAGGGGAGAGGAGTCGTTGTATCGAAGCCTGCGCAAAGGTTGGCTTGGATCGAAGCCCTGCGCAGGGAAGACGTCCGAGGAGTGTGCGCGAGCTCGCTGCGCGTCATAATCTCGAAGGCATTGTTATACCTCTCACAAAGCCCAGTGGGCCCGGCCGAAGGGTTTCGTGTTGTCGTCGTCTACTTGCGCCTTCTTGCCTACTTGGCCTGTGCCTAGTGCTGTGCCTCAATATTGACTAGCGGTATGCTTGAATTTGTGTAATGAGTTCAGCTTCCCCCTAACTCGCGGATAAGGGCGTACCCGCGATGATCGAGATCATGACATAGCGCTCCGATCTGAGTTGCCATACATGGGAAGCAGAGCAATGAGCAAGAAACTTCTGGCTCGCTCCATTCGCTGCATTGGCTCAGCTTGCAACCACAAGGGCAAATAGCTCAGGGTACGTTAAGTACGCCGAAAGATCGGCAACCTGCTCACACGCGCTGTGCTCCTTGAGCTTGCTGCAGAACCACTGGTGCCTTCGCTATCTTCGAAGCATAGTGCGTAGTTGACATTGCATGGTGGAAGTTGTGGAACCTCGAAGCTGGTTTCACCAAACCTCTGTCAATCAAAAGGCAAGACCATCTGAAGGAATTGAGCCACAAGCGGGACGCTTCTGTAAGTGTTCTTCACAGCCTTGAACACTTCACATGTACGCCCAGGATATCTTCTCAACTAACTCTGGAACTGTGCCTGGAAGAAGCGCATGAGGACACCTGGGAGAAGTTCAGATAGCTAGAATCTCCCAACTTGCACGTGACGAAGTCCAAGCGCTTCCCTGAAAGGACAGCACCGTCGTCGATGCTAAGGTGATCGAAAATGTCCAGCCTCGATCCATCTGGTGACTAGGCTAACTGCTCCTTCCGAGCTAGCCTGCTCTGCCGTTACTCGCGCAACTCTCCTGGGCGCTGAGCTGACGTATAGCCGTCACCAGCAACACAAACTGCTCATGGGACGTCAAGACCTCAGCTGGACCACGGTAACAGCAGAGTCCGTAGGATGGGAAGCAAGACAAGCGCTGCTCGCCGGTCAAGTCACAAATGTCACTGCATGAAACAAGGCCCCCACACGTGTGCTTCGCGTCTTTTGAACGATTATCTCGACGAGTAATCATTATCCGAGAAGAGCTGCTGTTGTCGATGAAATCGGGTGGGACATGCACTGGGGGGTGCAGAACCCCAAGCCGCGCTCTCTCATTGCGGTGAACCCACCCGGACCACCCGGTTTTGCAGCAGGACTCAATAGCCATTTTGGCCAGCATGGCCTTCAAAAACCGAATCAAGGCTCTCGAGCCAAACAGAGACCCGGGGACTCCTCAGCCTTCCTCTGTCTGCGAGTATCTGAGGGCACGTTTCTTTCTACAAGTATGGCCAAAAGGAATAAGACACTCTCATAACTGCTTCCTACTTAGCCTAGCATACACTCACACAAACCCTGGTGTTCTCGACTTTGAATGAGGTGTCGGCCCAGTAATCGATCTCCCACTGTGTAACGTCCACGTGCGGCTCCGCAACCAGGTCCCTCGCGTTTGAACACACTGCGCATCTAAGCAGAGACATCGCTGAGCTGTTGGGCCTAATGCACGTGTTCTCCGCCTCCTGTACCTGCGAGAACGAACCATCCAAGCTTCTGCGTGGCTTGTGCAAATACTCGCATGCCAGAAGATGTTCCTTCTCCCTCTTCACCTTCACAACAACAATCTTCTGATCGCCACGGGTTTTTCGCCGAGTGGCTAATTGCAACATGCCCTTTGAAGAGGTGAAGTCCAGAGCCTCAGTGACAAGAGTCGGATCAAGCCAAAAGTCCCCAGAAGGGTTTTTTGCAAAGCTGGTGGCATATGCCGGGCCCCACACGGTGGCAACGTGACCCGTAAACTTGTGAACTGTATTCACGCGACCCACGGATCGACCGTGACCGGAGGCCTGCGCAGAAGTCTGAAACATGCATCAAGTGGCCACTCTGTCACCTAAGGTTTAGGGCTTGAGGCTTTAGGGTTTGCTGAAAGATCCATGAGGGTCTTATACAATATATATATATATATATATATATATATATATATGTACATATATATATATATATGTGTGTGTGCTACCGTGCCTTGCTTCCGGCTCTTCCAGCGCTCCCATCCGTTCGGGCTCTGGACCTGGTCGCCATCGCCTCGGCTTGGGAGACTGAGCCCCCACTCTTAACGCAGACGATCTGCCGGTCGCCTCCTCTGTGTAGTACTCTGAGACAAGCAAGTCTTCAGATTCGTCCTACGGCTCAAGGCAACCTCTTATAACTTGCACGAAGGATGCACTTTCAGTTCGACGAGCACGTAGATTTGTCATCACCGGCTGCTTGGAGAATCAGGTCCTGTGCAGCGCCTTCGGCCCCTTCGCGCTCCAGAAGTGCCTTTGCTCTGAACAGCTACAGCTTGTGGCAGATTGATTATAGTATGAGGACATCTCAACCCGTAGATCATCTACCATCACCTATCAACTGTGGGAGGGACTCGTGTCCACATCACGTCCAGCGAAAGGCGGTCCAGGTGGCTACTGGCCTTCCAGGCTTGTGTTGCTCTTTGTCAGAGCTCAGCCTGAAGGAAGAGCTCAGCGGCAGCTGAGGCACGGTCTGCGCTTGCAAGCCACTCCAGGAATTCTGCGTCTTGCTGCGTAAAATCCACGCTGATGGGGCCCTGAGCTAAGCTTCGTGGCAAAGACTGGGAAGTGGCATCACGGAGTCACACGAATCCAGGCTCGAGCCCACAGCTTGGACAGCAAATCGCCCTGCAGAGGCGCAAGATCGGCTCTTCTCTGCAGGCTATCACTTCAAAGACCCCAGGCACCTCTTTGGACCTGGAGGTCTTGGCGCTGGCCACAATGAGGCCAAGGGGCTTCAGATCCTGCCAGCAGCCACCGAAGTCTTTGATCTTTCTTGACATGTGCACAAGTCTACTCGCGGCAGGAGCCGCCCTGTACAGCTACTATCCTGCCAAAATACAAGACCTTAGTTCAGAAACGTCGTGCGAGAGACTGCCGGAATAATTCGTCAATACAGCTTGAATGCAGGAAGAAGAAATGCCGGAACACAAGAAAGACAACAAAGCCCCACACAGAAACACACACACACACACACACTCAAACACATCTGCCTTCCCAGCGCTCATGATAGGAGCGACCATGACGCTAGCCTTCTGGTCCACGCCCTGAAGTCACAGAAAGTGAATGCCGCACAGTGCAGGCCACCAGATGCAACTGAAGCAAACAAGTTCGAGGCAAACTCCACGTCATCCCAGTACGGGCAGGTGGTGGGATCCTCAAGCCAACGGAGCTCGACAAAACTGACACAGCACTCATTCTCAGCCCACACGGCAAATGTCAAACAGCCGAGGGAGCGTACGTTGTAAATCAACGCCCCAAGAGGCTCGGATCGCTCCTGCGCCAAAGCGAGGCCATGGTCCGATGGCTGCTCGTGCACGCAAACTTATCCGTCTAACTGTTCTTAGAACATACTCACCTGTCCAGCTGTATGCGCATGCCTATGTACGTATACAGGATGTGTATGTGTATGAACAGATGCAGATACGCACATATAAGCTATCTGTATTAATATATAAACATACATACATGCATATGTGTGTATGTATGTGAGTATATGTATGTGTGTATGTATGAATGTACGTGCAGATGTAATCTATGGATGCATCTATGTCAATGTATGTATGTATGAATGTAGGTACATATGTAATCTATGCATGCATCTATGTCAATCAATGTATGTATGTATGTATGTACGCATGTATGCATGTATGTATGTACAATTGTAACTAGTGCGTGTGTAGACACCGGACCATAGATATACACACATGCACATAGAGCGGGTGAGAGAAAGAGAGTAAAGAGGTAGACTGACAGAGACACCAATACAAGTCAAGAATGGAGCAAAGGGAATGTAGGGGCATTAACGGCAGCCTCTCACCTGCACTCCCAGAGAGACTAGACAGGCACGATGGCAAAGCTAGACACGGCTTGCACCAGCAGGAACAAATGATGGGAGTCAGCAGATTGATCGATGCACTGTCCTTGGCCAGCGTGGCGATTTTGCCCGGCAGCCTCGGAACCACAGGGCAAGTGGAACCAAAAACACGGATCTGCCGCAAGCTTCGAGGCCCAAGCCCGACGTCCAAAACCAGGCGCGCAGGCTCAGGCACCGTAGCCGTCGGAGGAGCCCACGTCTACAGGCAGACACTGCACTGACCATGCATTGGGACTTCCGGCTTTTGCACGGCTGCTGCCTCGTCATCATCGATGAAGAAGACCATGCATCTGCTGGACTGGGTCACTGCCTGAGCCATGCGAGCAGAAGGTCATGCACAGCAAGACTTGGGGATTTTGGCCGAGCGCAGGCCGCAGGCCTGCACAGCTTTTTCGATGGTCTGCACCAGGTCCGTGGTGCTCGCAGCCATGCTCAGTTCGGAGACCAAAGACTGCGAGGAGGGGGCCGCTGCGAAAACGCGATGACAGCTGATACTGCAAGTGTCTCTGCTTCTTCGCCTGCATTTGTTCTGCTGAGTGCTTTCTTTTGGTCAGCTCGCTGAGCATGGACTGGGCCTGAGTCGGTTGGAATGCGCGTGCTCAAGATGATTCAACACGCGTTAACTCGCCGGAACCTGCAGCGCGGCTCGCAGGGACGACGCGCACAGCCTAGGAAATCTCTGGAACGAGAAACCGCACCCAGCCGAGAAGTGTGTAGGGACGCGACGATTCCGCCGCAACTATGTCGAAGTGATCTAACCTCCACATCACCGCGACGAGCAGCACTGCTGATGCTGTGTGAGGCGACACTTTCAAGCTGAGCTGGCCTCAACGGTTCCACTGCCCTGCCGTGAAAAACTCATTTGCAAAGTCTACCGACCAAAACGGTGCATGCTGTGCACAACATCTAAACAGGCCAGGGAAGCTTGGAGCTTAGATCGTCGGAAAAATCTAGCACAGTGGGCCTGTCAGAGAAGATCGTGCCGTGAGGACTTCCCATGTTTGCCTTCCTGTTTCCAACAGGTTTAGAGCATGAGCCGGCTCGCAGATCCCGCTGGTGGTCATGCAGTTGATCTCAGATCTGGGCTTGCCGATTCCATGCAGCACAACGCAGATTTCCCTTGAGGAAGTTGGCCTGAGCATTACAAGTTGCCGTCAGGTGCACACCTCTCCGACGCTCACACCAACGGCAGAGCTTGCTCCCGGAACCGTCCCATGATCCCTGCAAATTCACATTGTGAGGCATGCTTGCAGAGTTTCATGCACACAATCCAAGACCAAAGCCTCAGCGCAAATAACTCGCGCAGCGTCTTCGGAACTTAACCTGAACGCCTGCAGCATGCTTCCACTACTTTCTGAGATCTTCTCTGCCAGACTCGTCATGATCCGACTAGACGTCTCCACTCACTTCTGTGTTGCCATGCGACCGTGGGGCCTCCGTCGTCAGAGCGCTTGGACTGTTTCGTCCTTCCGCACCTCCTCCGGGGTCCAAGAGGCAATCCCAGCAACTAAGAATCAAGCAGGCCAAGCCGCGCCTACTTTGACAAAGGAGCCCAACCTGATCGGAGAGGGGAGGGCGGGTCGTCTTGAACGCGAGCAAAACCCAATGGCCTGTCGTCCGCTTCCCAAACCGATGCTACCGGCAGCTCGATGCCACCTGGGGCGACATACTTGCAGAAGGGAGCATCCCATAGTCCCATAGTCGGAATCCCACCTCTGAGGACCTCTTTGGGCACCTGCACATTTCACGAAACTGGAGATCAACTCGGGAGCCCTTTCCCCGTCGAGACAGCCGACATCACACAAGTCTCTGTGATGCCCTGAATCCACTGTCCTCTGACAGGTCGAATGTTGTGGCTCCTCTTTTGATTGGGTGACTGTGTTGATCTTTCGGCCGGACCGGAGTTCTGAAAAGCTATACCGTAGTACATAAAAATACCAAGTGGCCAATCCCGATTAAGGGGATCTTCGCATTCTTGAGCAAACTTTGGTGCATGTCATTCGATTCTTTTTTGAATGCTTCTTGGGTGCCATACTACAAGTGCCACATTTTGCTTGCCCAGCAGTGCCGGCGGACCTCGGCGGCACTTTGAATGTTGCTTTCCCGCCATTCTTCAGACGGTTTTGCCTCAGAACTGCGGCCGTATCCTTGCCGCACAGCCGGCCTCTGCAAATTCCGCTGCAGCTCGGTGCCGAGTGCCGAACGAGAACCTCCACCCCTTGCAGCAGGCTCTCGACCACTGCAGCAGAGCGGCGCGCCTCGCAGTAATGTCTTGAATGCAAGTCACTACTCGGTGTTGACAGCTCTCCCACACACTGCAACTCGCCTCAGCCTCCCAGTGGATGCAGTTGAGGCGTTCTTCCAGAAGCAATGCGTACAGCTGCAAACTGGACAACGTCTCGCTCACCTGGCGTGCAAGCCCAGGTCAGACCGTGCAATGGTTGCAGAAGTGCCGTGAGGAATGAGTTGCCTCTGCTGGCAGATTGAGCTCGGCAAGCAAGACACCCTCCACACCTTGCCATGCAGGCGCAGAGAAGGTATCCGGTTACAGTTACTCCATACCTGTGCATATCAGTACTAGAGCACTAGCGCAGCCTAAGGAAACAAAACGCTTGAAGGCAATTTGCAGGCTTTTCATCACAAATCGCAGGTAAGCACGAGGTCGGTCTTCGATCTGGAAGGCTTCATTCAGAATCCTTTGCATAAAGTGGAGCGAGACGTGCCTCGCTTGAAAACTCTCGTGACGTGTGTGACAAAGCCAGTGCTGATCACCGGTCGTTCCTGTGAATCTCAGGCGACGACTCACGAGTCACGAGGCTCCTAAGACTTCTGGGCCGAGACTGATCAGGCCCAGCAGGCATTCTTTGGCTCTGGATTCTCGATCTGCTCCCACAGAGAAGGCGGAATGCTCGGCGGGCGGTCGCAGTCCTTGGGAGGAGCTCTTGGCTTCGATGGTGTTCTCAAGCCAGGTCGACAATCATCTGGAGACCTGCCCTAGGAGATGCTTCCGGTGCCGACTTATTTTTGTGATTCATACATTCGCGAAAAGGGTGGAGCAAGGATATCATGCTGATGTCACCGGCAGCCGAAATCCTAGCTTTCGAAAGAGATACTAAGTAGACGATTCATGCAAACAGAAGCCAGTATTCGCTTCTCCGCCGTAGTTCTTGTTGACCGAAATCAAACCCTGAAGGAAGGATCAAGGCGAGCCAAGTGGCACTGACGGAGCTTGCGCCGCAGACTCCGGCTCCGTGTCGATAGCCGACGCGCTGGCAACTGTTCGATGTCGCCGTCATGCCTGGACACAAAGCCAACTGGGGCGGCGCAACTTGCGGAAAGCGCGCGCTAGGGAGTGCCAGCTTCGCTTTTCGCGCAGCGCATAAAGCCTTTGGAGCCGAGCTCTGACTGCAGGGTGCAAGTCGGGCAGCATGCTGGGCACACAGCTTCTCAGTTCTGGAATGTTCCAGGCTCTGTCCCCCGTGATCGTACCGCAATGTCGTTGCAAAGAGTGCCCGAAGCCATGCAAAGATGCGGTGTACTGAGGAACTGGTAACCAGCCCGAGAATGCCCACAACCGGGGAAATGGGGCCTCCAGAATTCCGGAAGAGCGGGGCCAAAGCGAGAACAGAAGGGCTGAAAATTCAAGCAAAGCGCTGGACTCTCGAAGCCTGCAAGCAACAACAGGAGTGTGAGAAGACCTCGTAAGACTGGACTTCAACAGCTTAGGGTTTGTGGGAATATGAGGTTTAGGTTTTAGAGTTTAGGGCCTCTGCAGGGCAGGCAAGTCAGATGGATACGGGCATCGATACTCCGCTGAATCCAGCACTTGGTCGTTCAACCTCTTGCTGCACTCGGACCAGGATGCCCAGAATTCAAAGGGGGGCTGTCCAACAGGAAGATTCTGTTCAAGAAGCAGCGGGCAAGCTTTAAATCCTAGCACTTGCGGCTAAGGCTGCTTGCGAAAGTTAGAAAAGACTCATCATTGGCGATCAAGATTTGGAGACCACAAGGAACTTTGCAGACGTAACGTCCGAAGACGGCCATGCTTGCGGAGCATCATGCAGAAGGAACAGGGATGCATATGCCACACCCAGCCACCAGAACCTGACACATGCACAAACACGATCTTCTATCTCATGCACAAACACGACATAGTTGCTTCCAGCTTTGACATTTCAAGTCTGCACATAAGCAAGACTGCTTGGACCAGCCGCAGCCTCACGGGCAGGCCACAACGTAGCAGAAGCTGCGCACTGAGCACGCCCAGCACAAAAGCACACACGACACCTGTCGGAGCATCGCAACGGTTGGTAGAAGACTGAACAGCAACCTTCCTCTCTAACGGTGCAGGAACCAACTACTGCATCGCAAAACGATTCGATCCCCAGACCCTCTGTGTCTTCCTGCCTAAGCTTCGCCGCGCGACGCTGCGCTTGCTTCGGTCCAGGGTGCTGCCAGACATCACATCAGCCATCGAGCTTGCCAGGATATGCCAATGTCCCGTCAGCATGTTGGTTACCTTTGCACCACACCCCAAAGTGACCTAATTAGAACTCATAATGTGACTAAACGCAAGGATTCCCAAGAAGGAAGCATTAAATGTTAGAATTTGAGGCAAGAAAGAAGGGACGAGTGCAGCAGGCGGCCACACCGGAACTGCTGGATGAAAAGGCGTTCACCACGCCGCAGCCCAGGGCTAAGAGAGGCAGAGGCCACGAAGAGTCGTATCTGCAAGACCTATCTCGAGATTTCAGGCTTTGAGATTTTCTATTCAATCTAGGCAGTATTTCCCTTAATAACCTGATAAAACTGCATGTCCGTGTAGAAACTTGCTACACAGACTTCTATGCCTATATGGATACCAGTCTGCTTGCAAAAAACGATGTTAAGGTTTCTCGCGTTAAAGACAGGCCACAAGGCGTCAAAAGCGCAGTGGATGAGTAGGATCAACCTCATGTGGCCGCTTTGTCAAGAGTGCTAGAAATCTCACCGGCCCCAAGCCCATGCTCACATGGAAAGCTCCCTTAACCCCAGCGTTTCCAAGCGGCGGGGCAGTGGCTGCAACCCTCCGGGGCCCCAGTTGTGCATCCAGAAAGCGAAACAACACAACGCCAGATACCTGCAAAGGACAAGAGGCAGCATCTTGCATGAAATGGCATGGTGCAGGTGCTTGATAAAGGAAGAACCGATGAAAAAGACCATGTTCTTGGGACAATGAAACACGAAAGTATTAAAGAACGACTTCAGAACCAATACACTTTTCTCGAGCCACGTCGCATAGTGAAGCAACAAAGTAGAAAAAAAGGCAAGCTTGCCCCACTGGGCAAAGGCCAAAGCAGCTCCAGCCATGACCTTATCCGGTTCTGCGGCCACCTCACTCTTAGAGTCTTACAGCCTACCTAGTCTCACGAACGCAGAAACGTGGCAAAGGCTGCCAAGACATCAAGGCGCTGTGTTGCCGGTCATCATATTAACATAGCCTGGCAACGCCACACCGCGTTCTCCCGCGCGGTCAACACATCGGAGCAAATTTTCACTCTGCTGTCATGTTCGGCCGAGACGCAGCGATATCTGGTGACGCACGCAGCCTCCACAATGCCAGCCAAGAAAGCCAGACTTCCCACGGTGCCTCCCTTGAGGAGTGGTCTCCACACCCTGTCAGAGATTGAGGGGGGCAGACAAACGAACACCGATGAAGCATCAATGTAAACATTCCCGTGGCTTTTCTGCCACCAGCCAAGGGCAAGGATGCAGTCGGAAAGAGTTAAAAACGAGGAGGACGAAGAAGAGGAGGCGGAAGCGGAGGAGGAGGAGGAGGAGGAGGAGGAGGTGTAACAGCATGACTCAACACGGAGCTGAGCAGCAGCCAGCAATCGCTAAAAACTCCATCGAAACGAAACATCACAGGCGAGTCGGCGCGACAGGCCTTAAGAGAAGCCCAAAAAAACTGTCAAGGATTAAAGGTTCGGGTCTCATGACAACCTGACGGTAGCACGGATCATCCAAGATCCGTCGCTCACAAATTCTGAGCAGGTTGATTTTGGGTATTCTGCGACTGCAATCTATGACCCGGTCTTGGCAGAAGGCACTACCCACGGAACATGTGGGACCCGGCTAATGTTTCGAGCTTGACCCCCGCAGCTCCCGCTGTTCAAGGCTTTTCGGCTGCATCAGCATTAACAATTGGGCGCAAGGGACTTTGAGAAAACAAGGATTCCTCGAAGGGTGTCGGCCAAGTGTCTGTCTGCGTGTCTCCAGGCCAGATGCAGGACTCAGGCCAGGTTCGTTCTGAGTGTCTTGTGACCTCCGGCTGCGGAGGACTTGCAGGGAAGGACCATGCTTTGCCCCCCACTGCCCCCACCTCTGAATGCGGCTCCTTCTTAGCCTTGCTGGGCCATTCGATGCCGCAAGCCTGCTCATACATCCGTCATGCTTTAGAAAGAAGTCTAGAAACTAGGTGGGACCCCTATCTGAGTCCGGAGCTTGCTTGGTAAAGCTGCAAGGCCAGTGCACGGCTGTACCTGCCGAAGAAACGAAAACTCTGAGCTGCCTGGGCCCATGGCATGCAATGTGTTTTCCATGATCGTTTCGATTACTGTCCTGCTTCATTCCCTGCAGCACTGAGAAGCGCGCGCTCTGTGCAGATGCACTTGCAGGGAGACTGCCAGAAATGCAGACTGCCACTTGTGCTGCACGGCAGAAGCGAATTGCCATTGCTTGCAGGCAAGATGTGTCCGCAACTTTGCAGTGCTCGGCTTGCAGTTCGCGTTTTGTTCTGGTCGGCCGTTAAGCCTCACATGTATGGCCTAGGCAGCTTGCTCCTCTCACCCTGCTGTTGGAACGGGTTTTCGGCTCATTAGCGATTGAGCACCAGATGCGGGCCGGGTCCCGGTCCCTGCAGATGCAAGCTCCACTCACACCAACTTTTGCCTGATCACCTGATGTCTGCCGAGACTGGAGGACGCGCGCTGCCTCTTCTGTGTGATTGCCCTGAGAAGCGGCTTCTTCATGTAAAGGTCAGAGGAGCCTTTGACATTCTCAGGTAAGGCACATTCAACCTTGTGCAGCTTCAAGGCCCTCGAAAGTAGAGACCGCACTTGTACCAACGCCTGCCAGGTGTCCGCAAAGTAACGCTGCATCTTCATGTTCATCACCTGGCATCACAAGACATCACAAGCATCTGCTCACATGCATTGCAATCTGTCAGCAAACCAACACCTCGCACCACTCTGCTCTGCTTGCTGTCGCGGGACACAATATGTAAGGCCTTGTCTCAGCCACCCTGATTGATCTTGGCCATGTTGTCCACTACAATCGGCAAGGATCGTGGAGCACCGCCCCTACAGCAAAAAAGCAACTGCACACGGAGGTCTTCAAGCTGCCACCCATGTTCAACAACGAGACTAAACTCATGGTAAGCCAGCTGCGAACACTATCGCATTTCGGTATGATATCCATGTTTCCTGACCAGTTCAACTCAAGGCATCACAACAGTACCGGCATGTTGGCACCTCTCAGCACGCCTTCAAACTCCCAGATCGGTAGACTGGCACTGTGCGGGCCACTCCAAGACTAAAAGCTGGGCTCGAGCCAAAAATCGCGCGGTGGTTTCGGCCAAGGCTGAGCCACTAAGCAACAGCTGTGGGTCGCACCCTGCGCACTCCTCACGGGCCATGCAACCTCAAACCGGCGCAGAGCTGTGACATACAACACCTGTGCGCTGCCGAACGCAGCCGAATGCAGGTCACCGCAGGCCCTCTTTAGGCGCCGACGCAGGTGTCGGCAGCGGAACCCGACTCGCTTGCAAGTGCGGAACCCAGGCCTCAGCGTCCAAAGCGAGAAAGCCTTGACCAGAACAGCAGAGCCTCTGCTTTCTGCAAACGTCTGGGCACGCTACACTCCGCGACCACGCTTGAACCTGCAAACACCATCCATGCAGCAATCTAAAGCAGCATACTGGCATATTCTGCAAGGTGCTTCTGCCTGGTTCCCCTGGGCTGCGACCGTCTGAACTGTCCACCAAGAGGAAAGCATCGCCGGCAAGCTGCCGCGCATCGCCAAGGCCCAAAACACCACGGCCACGGCCCTTGGGAGCTGAGAAGAAAGACACAGCCCGCACGGCATCTCCCAAGCCCTCCTTCGCGCTTCGAAGCAATCCGCGCACCGCATCTCTTGCAGAGGATCTCGAAGACTTCAGAAAAGCACAGCTGGAGTTCAGGCTCGTGCTCGAAGTGCCTTTGCCTGAAGGGCCAGAAGTCTCAGAGCGCAGCTCTTCCAAGATGTAGCTTCTGGGATCCGCCGGCTGAGCAAGAAGAAGCGACTGCGTCAAGTCACGCAACAAAGTCTTCACCTTCTTCTCCTCCAAGTACTTCATTGCGATCCGAACATGAGCATCTTGGTCGAAGTGGCCCGAGCTTTCCAGCAACGCCATGATCGCCAAGAGCCTTTTGGGGGCGGAATCTACTCCATTGCTCGGGACCGGAGCCTCTGTCTACTACTGAAGAGATTTAAGATGTGGCATGCCCAGGAAGTGCGCCCACTTGGGCAATACATGCATCCAAGTCAGTGTATCTGCCTCAGGCTCACACTCTGCTCGACTAACAACATCTAACAACTATAACTCGCTTTCAGTCTTTCCGTGTCTGTGTTCATCTTTGACCCCTGCCAGCAAAGCCTGCAGACTGTGAGGCACGGGAGAAGTGAAGATTGGGCTTCTAGTGGCCATTGAGAGTAGCAACACAGACCTCACTCTGTCGCATGGAAACCCTCGAATAGCCAGGAGTCAAGCTGCATTTTCTTTTTGATAATTACGCGGTGAAACTAGTCATTATCTGATCCCCTGGTCTGAGATCACCAATGCAAAAGATGAGTGCCAAGGATGCGTGTGCTGCATCACTGCTTGAATGTGAGGGTCAAGTTCGAAGTGGTGTTTGCGCAACCTGGCACCATATGTTACCTGTCGTCAGTTTGACGTCCAGTGGATGGAAGAAACACCAGAAAAGCCAGGCATTCCAGGCTGCACACTCTGTGCACAACAGAACCGGGTTTTCACCTGCAGTACTGCAGTACTCAGCCCCAGTGTTTTTGCAGCCTGCGATGGCTAGCTCGCCCATCCTCCAAAATCAGGACTTTGCCCTGATCGGAAACAAGCCGGAATTGCTTTCGTCTACTCTTTCATCTTTCAAGCGGAAGAAGCGTCTGAAGGGTCGTCACCGCCTGCATAGCGAAGGCGGACTCAACCGTTTTGGTCACAGCGGACCCTCATCTCAGGCATTCCTAAGCCGTGCACTAAAGATCCGCTCGTAGTGCTGGGAATTCTTTTTGACATCGTCCCAGTGCTGCTTGAAAACCTGACATATTGGCTCGTTTCAGATCTTTGTGCACATGTCAGGCGGGCTTTTGTTTAAAGCGTCCGAACACAAACTGCAAAACCACAGTGGGACAGGCATACACCGATCTCTCTGCAGTCCCCAAAATGTCACCAGACCTGTATGGCCCCCCGCAGAGCACACTTCTGAAGCTTGCATCAAGCTGGCAGAGGCGACCTTTGTAAACTCAGACAGGTTCGACAGCAACACTTCCAAATCCGCCGGCACCTGCAAGGAGAAGCAGTGAAGGAACGCTTAAGTACAGTGTACATGCGAAGCGCTGCTGTGAACGAGACAAGCACGCAAGCGCACGCAGTTTTGCCGACAGCCGGGCTTGAAAGAGCCACACGCATCTGCACCCAATACGGCACCGAAGCTCCCTGCAGCTCGCTTGCCCATACGCCGTCGTCCGGATGCAGGAGTTCAGCATCCAAAGCTACAGCAGTGGGCACGAACTGAACTTCTGCAGGGCTACGCACGGTCGTCCGTCTGTCCTCTCCAAGGGTCGACCGGGACTGTCCACTTCACCGACAAAAAGATGAGGAATCGTCCTAGGTATCAGTATGTACACTTGGCTCGTCTATTTCTTTGGAGCCTTTTGCTTCACCTTCGCCTTTGCTTGGCCAAGCTGTTTGTCCACTTCCTTGTTTTCCTTCCGCTTCTCTTTCCTGGACGGGAGACGCGCGGGCTGCGTGAGGCACAACACAAGTCACCTCGCTTGCAAAAGAACAGGAATCGCAAGATGTAGCAAAGCAACCTGAGTTGTTGCTGCAGTTTCTGCAGCCCTGGCATTGACATTTTGCAGCTTCCACACCTACAGCTGCATGTGGCTCGTACGGCAGTGACATTACTTCCAACCTCCAGCGTGAAAGCTGAGATGGTGGCATGAGCTGTGTGGCTTCGTTCTCAGGGATCGCCTGGCGGCCAAAAGTGCATTCGACGTCCGACTTAGGATCAAGACCCATCTGCCCAACCAAATTCAAGGAACCCTGAGCCTTGCCTGGACCAAAAGCTTCCAGGCTCGTCTTTCCGTCTGCAAGCCGGAGACAGTGGCAAGGGCAAGACTAAGAGGGCTGGATGTTTCTTCGAAGACCCGAGCCTGTTCCGCAAAAATCTTCAGACAGTGCCGCACGGCTTGGCCTTTCTTCTGGTTTCCGGGCCTAGGATGCAGGAGATGCAATGCTACCTGGTGGGGGATTGAAGCAATGCAGATGCTCTCCGGCTAACCGTCACGCGAACACGTTTTGTCGGCCGCGCGCCATGGATGGTATCGTCAGGTACAAAATGCATGAGAATCAATGAAATCATGGATCTATGCAACGAATGCGGTCGGACTCAAGCATGGATCCCAAAAGCAGCGAAATGGGGTTAACCAAGATAACACCTAGAAGGCTCAACACTCGGCTGGCGCTTTGCCGCCTCTTGCCAGGAACATCCACCGCATCGCCGATGTAGCGGAAAGCCATGGTTAGCAGGTATCCTTCCAAGCCGGCTGTAGTGGCAAAGCACCCGACATAGAGTGACTGGCCAGAGGGGGTCCTGCAGGACAGGGCCCGAGAAAGCAAGCTGCCACTCTACAACACTAGACCAAACCAGACTCGACCACGCAATGCTGTGCCGTGCTGTGCTAGCCGTGCCGTGCTGTGCCGCGCTATACCGTACCGTACAATGCTATACTATACTATACTATACTATACTGGATTGTACTGCACGATGCTAAACTATGCTATACAAAACTACGATAATGCAAACCCTTGATATTATACTAGACTATGTTATCTCATAATAAATTATAACATTGTGTTGTTTTTATGTTGTATGATAACACTGTATGATAACATCCTATCTTACGTTTTCTTGTCTTGTACTACTGCCTACTACTACGACGACGACTACTACTACTACCACCACCACTACTACTACTACCACCACGACTACTACTACTGCTACTACTACTACTACTACTACTACTACTACTACTGTTGAATGTATAAATCCTGCATTACCCACAGTAAGGAATGTACCATAATTCTCATCGTTTAGGGTCCTTAAGGTAATGCAGGATTTAGATCATCAGCACTACTACTACTACTACTACTACTACTACTACTACTACTACTACTACTACTACTACTACTACTACTACTACTACTACTACTACTACTACTACTTTACTTGATGGCCCCCTAGACAAGCCCCTCAATCCAATGAGAACGGCTACAGCAGACATGTTGATGGATGGCACCCACCAGGAACCAGCGACGACGATACATGCCGGAGCGTTTTCCGAGCTCTTGGTAACCTAGATCAGTGTCGAAACCCAACGGAGGCACTGGGTAGAGACTCTCGTCGTTCGCAAAACGAGTTTCGGGTCGAGCGTTTGTTGCGGATGTTGCGAACGTCCTCCACGCATCCAAGTAGATCCTTAGCACTGCTGAGGACGGAAACATCGTTGAGAAAGCTTGTGCTGCACTATTCGGGAACGATTCGCATCACGTCCGGTCCGAGCATCCCAAAGGCCGCGGATGTGACTAGCAAGCCCGCCATCAGCTGCACAACAGAGATAGCATAGAAGATGGGTCGGGGGCTGGGCATCACCGACGACATGACGGAACCCAAGGGCACCATGACCTGAGAACTGGTCAGAGCCCATCGGTAAGTCTCTTTGCCAACTTTCCCATCGCATGCCAAAGGATCCACGTTCATCGCGCCAGTCTGCCCAAGCGACAAGGCAAGTCCCCACTGCGAGATTTGCGACAAGGTTGCAAATAAAATCGGAAGGAGCAGCTGCCGTGGAACGTAAAGACCATCGAATGCGCGTTGCTTGTGAGCTACTGAACATACCCTGACATCTCCGTCGCTGTTAGACTCCTGGGTGGAACAAATCTCCTCCGAGGAGTCTTCACTTTCACTGTCTGAAAGCTCAACCGTGCCATCCTCCTCATCCATCGTATATCGCAAGCCCGTGCCAAAGTAAAGAATGCAGGCCCAAGCCAGTAGACCGAGAACTGAGAATGTGGAGTAAACAACAAAGAGCGTTGAGACGGAAAATCTCAGCTTGCCTGACCCCGGATGTGGGTTTTGGGCTTGCGCGATCATCGTGGCAAACAAGCTGGAAAGGTCCGTGCCTGCTCAGGGGTCCCAACCGCAGATTTCAAACTGAGGTGACGATTCACGAGTTGCTTCTCTGAGATTCTGCTACCATGCCACTCACAAGCTCTGAGCTACATGCAATTTTTGGCCAGAAGGGTTTTCTAGAAACCTTCAAAAAATAGCCGGAATATGAACTTCAAGACTGCACCCGCACAGTCCCCTGGAAAGCCGTAGACCTTACAGCCTAGACCATACAGCACACCTGAGCTGTGAGTCTAAGCCGCTCAACCGTGAAGGCAAGCACTGTCATCTTAAATGAGTTACGTACTTGTGCTTTCCCTTCGTGGTCCGCTGCTCAGCTCTTCAGCCCGCGGACTACTCGAGTGAGTTCCACAATACAGTACGACATGTACACCATGAACACTGGACGGAATGCTTAAAACGCGGCACCTTTAGCCGTTCAGCTGGCCCTTCGTTCAAGCTTTGAGCCCAACCCTTTGAGGATCCCAAAGTCTCTCCATGCTTGCTGCAGAGGGTCGAAGCTTTTCATTCCCCTCCCCATATTCACGTCCGAATGCCAACACTGGACTGGACCAACAACTGAGAATGATCCCGGACACTTAACCCTGGGGCACAGTGCCTGCTCGGACTGGTGCAACGAGCCAGCCAGCATAGTAAGTTGCAACCAACGGAAACAGCAAAAAAATCGTGGCATTGCCGACCAGCTGGGCCACAATGTCTGAGAACATGAAGAAAGTGTACTCCGGAGCATCGGACTGCCAAAACATGGCAAGGAGCATGCAGAACGTCGCGTTCAGGGCCAGCAGAAGCGTAATAGTGATCTGCTGGGCACGCAAGGAGAGACACTCGGGATATAGAAAGTTCCAGATGAAGTACAGCAAACCTGTGACCAAGCCAACAACACCCTGGTTGATGCTGAATTGGCCAAACGTTTTGCCTTCCTTGGTGAGCACTGGTTTATTCGCCATCGCATTGAATAGAGCGTTGATGAGAAGCCAGCCGCAACCTGCTCCGACAACCATAAAGATCAAGTAGATGTGAAAGTAACCTTCAGGACAGGCAAGGGCCAGGGCCCCGTGCTACAAGTTTAGCAACCCTCAACCTCAGCCAAAGCCGCCAAAGCCGAGTACAAACCCAATCAATCAGCCAAACCAGAGCTTTCATCGGCTAGCCGACTCCAAATCCTCATGCGCAAGTGCTAATCCGGCAAACAGTCAAGCCAGGGTTTAAAGTGGAAGCCACACAATGCTCTGCCAAGCGACATAGTCCTGCAAAGATGTGAGGGCAACTGGGCAACTTCTACAACAAGCATGCATCAAGCACTCATGTTACCATATGTCAACTCTTCGTCGCCGCATCTGCCGCCGCAAGCATGTTCAAGCATGTCAAACAAGGTCCTGCGAAGTTTTCGATCGTCCTCTTTTTCCGGATGGCCGCTTTTTGTTGCACCATGATTCAAAACACCCCTAGCTACGAGGTCTCCAATCCATGAGCCTGAATGTCACGGGGCAGAGCATCCGACCATCCAGGCAGCACTCTTTGTTCTAGTAGCTTACATATAGTGTAACATAGTATGTTATGGTATAACATCGTATATTACAGCAGGTTGTAGTACATTAACATTATCAAGGTACATTATAGTATATTGTATATTTCAGAGAAATGCCATGGGCCATTTCGGCAGCGCATCCGAGGCCCGATCGTAAGCTTCACCCGGAGGTTGTAGGGCCCTGCACTCAAAGCGAGCTTACAACAAGCGCTGCGCTAACGAGTTAGCCCAAAATCCTACTAAGGGTGCAGTGGCTCCTTTTTGGATGGTCGAGTCGCATAACATGCGCCCGGCCGAGCACACCGCCCCGAAAGCCGGTGCCGGTGCCGGGGTGCGCACTTCTGCGACCTCCCCGGGCAACCGCCCGGTGGGGCGGGTGACGGCCGTATGTAAGTCAGGAAAAGCAAAAGGGACGGAGTGGGCGGGAACAGAAAAAGCGATCGAGCCGGCGTACTGCGGTCGATCGCTAGTGCTTGTTCCTACTCGCACACGTGCGCTACACAACAAGCGCTGCGCTAACGAGTTAGCCCAAAATCCTACTAAGGGTGCAGTGGCTCCTTTTTGGATGGTCGAGTCGCATAACATGCGCCCGGCCGAGCACACCGCCCCGAAAGCCGGTGCCGGTGCCGGGGTGCGCACTTCTGCGACCGCCCGGCGCACCCACCTCCCATAAGGCGTCGGCACTGGCTACCAAGAAGCAAGGTCTAGCAGCCTCTCAGGAGCCTCGTGGCAGGCGTAGTCGATGTCGGAGGCCGCCCGCCCGAGGATCACCATGACGTCGTCGACCGGTGCCCTAACACGGCACCAGCCTTCCCGGGCCGCTCTCGAGTCGTCGCCCCGAGAGACGGCGTCAGAAACATTGGCGGCGGAGGGGACCCTGTAGAACTCGGGGCACCAAGCCCGATCAGCCGCCAAGCCCCAGAAAGAGGCGAGGATGCCGTTCACGGCCGGGTCCCGCCCGTATCCTTTCATGAGGGCGAACTGCCCCGCGACATTGTCGATGAAGGCGATCCAATGTTGAGGCAGCCTCCGGGCGAAGGTGATGACGGGGAGCACCTGCGCCAAGATCTCCAACACGTAGATGAAAGCCCGGCGAGACGCGAAGGGCTTGAGGTACTCGGGCTTGACGACGCCGAAGTCGTAGAACACCTGGCCCTCGAAGAAGAGCACGAAGCCCCAGCCGTTCTCCCATCTGGCTGAGCGGGGGACCTGCTCCCCCGGATGGAGGTGGCCCACCTTCTTGCGTAAGTCGCCCTCCAGGAAGAAGGCGTCCGCGTAGATGACGGGGACTGGTCCCGTAACCGCCCCCGGCCAAGGTATGAGGCGCGGTTTGGCCGTAGCCACCAGGCGTCGGAGGGCCAGGAGGGCGGAGCGGAGCCCCACCGAGAGGGCGTCGTCGGAGTGGGCCGCCGTATCGGCCGCCCTGGCGTAGAGCGGCTTGATGGCCGCCCGGCCGGTGCAGCCGAAGACCGACTGGCTGAAAAAGGTGAGTCGCCCGGCCAGCCTGGACGCCACGTCTGGTTTCATGGCTCCCGTCTCCAGGGCGTTGTCGATCTGCTTGAGGATCTTCTGTGTGCGGTCGGCGGTGGGCCGCAGCTCGACGCCCGCGTCGGCCACCCGCACGGAAACGCCCTGGACAATATGTTCCTGGGCCGGCGGTTGGGCCTTGGACGGCTTGGTCTGGAGACCCAGAAGGGCGAAGAAGTCGGCCAGGGCGAAGTGGGCGGAGTCGGCCTCCGCCTTGTCCTCGACGCCGTTAAAGTCGTCGACGAAATGGCCGAAGAGGACCGCGAGCAACGCCCGGGCCAGCATCTGGACGGCGTCAGCCGCCCTGTTGAAATTCCAGACGCTCGCCGCCGCGCCGAAGCACATAGCAAAATGGAACCAAAGGGTGGTTCCGGCGGCCGTCGGGAGGAACGTCCCGCAGTGACCCGGGAACTTGACCGCCCACTGGCGGTAAGCGTTCTGCAGGTCGTGCCCGAAGAGCACCGGGTCCCATCCCGAAGCCATCGCCCGGCGGATAATGTCCACTATGTCCCCGAGGAAGTGGTGCGTCGGGACGTCGTGCGCCCGCATGGTGGCGTTGTGTCCGGACCGTCGCCAGTCTTCGCCTCGACGCAGCTTGAGGTCCCCGTTCTCGTCGAGCTGGGTGATGGCGAAGGAGAGCGCGGCGAAGCAGTCGCCCCGCGGCGGCTCAAGTAGGCGATCCATACCGGCCACCTCCGGCAAGGACGCCATGGTAACGCCCCATCCATCCGGCGCTCGACACGGGCCCATGACGCGCCCCAGGCGAGCCTCCTTGACGAGCTCATCCCTGAGGGCCCGGGTGTGCTCCGAGTCCTGTGGTCGGCGCGTCTTGGCCGCCACATAGGATGGGTTTTCCCGGCGAAGGCGATCCATGGGAGCGGGGTTGGAGTACCGCCCATCCTCCCTGCTCTTCCAGCCGGGCGCCCTACGGACCTCACCCAGCATGTCGAAGCCGTCCTCGAGGTCGGCCCTCAGGTCTTGGACCGCAGGGTAGTTCGCCCTCTGGAGTAGATCCAGGAGGACGGGGCCCTGAAAAGGGCGAGGGCGGTCCTCTGTGCAATAGGTCGCCCGGACGTGGTGGGGCCGAGCCGCGAGCCAGGATGCCGTGGATTCCTGGGCGTCGTGCACCATGACCTCCAGCTCCTGGACCACCAGACGGCGAATGCGCACCATGTCGTGGCGCCAGTGGGTGCGGAATTGGAGCACGCCCTCCAGGGCCGGCTCGAGGGTCGGCGGTGAAGTCAACGAGTGTCGAAAGTGAGGCGCCGCCGCCCAGTGCTCCTCCTCAGATAGGCCGTCGCCCAGAAAGGGAGGATCGGGCCGAGGAGGAGGGGCGAAGTCCCAGCCGTGGGCGCACCAATGGTCCAGAAGCCACTGTATAGTCGACCCCCCCGGCGTCCTGGGAACCCAAGGCGCGCCACGAGCTGGCTGCTGCCAGGAAGCCCAGATGACGATGGCAAGAAGGCGACCGGCGACGCCCCAGTGCCAGCCGTTGCCAAGCATGCGATGCCTGGCCTTGGCGTCCGCCCCCCCCTTGGCGGTGTAGCCCTTGGGGACGTCGTGAAGCTGCTCCTTGATCTCCGGCGTCGGGAGGTGAAGGACGCCCTGGGCGTCCTGGAGCATGGCTTGACGATGGTAGTGCCAGGGGGCAAACTGCCTGTGCCCGGCGAGCCATCGGTCCTCGGCGTCCTTGGGCGTGCGCCCCCGAGCCGATTTAGGCTTGGGGCGGCCGTCCTCCGTCGGGGCTGGCGTTGTGGCGCAGGGGACGAGCACCTGCCCCCGAGCCACGGCGGGGTCGAAGGTGAGGCCGCCCAGGTCGAAGGAGTCCGCGGCCGCCCGGGTTCCCGAGAGGCGCAACCGAGACCAGCGGCCCTGGCTGGTCCACTCCAGGGGCGAGTCCGCCGCGGGGTCCTTAGGGACGAGCGCCCAGTCGACACTGAGCCACCACAGGCGGGGCCTGTACACCCAGCCGAAGTCGGACGAGCAGACGAAGACCGGCTCCACACCGAGGGCGTCGGAAATCACCGCCGCGTCCGGCACTGACATGACGACGTTCTCGAACAGGAAGGAGAACCGGCGCCCGGCGAGGAGGGCGCGAAGCTCATCCATGAAGACGATGGCGTCCTGGAAAAGGCGCCCCCTATCGCCTTCGTGCCCGGCTCGGGCTCCGACGCGAGAGAAATCCTGACAAGGGGGGGCGGCCACCCAAAGGATCATGGCCTCGCCATTGGGATCGGCCTCCCTGATCAGCTTCGCCACCTCCTCCGGGGCGTCGTCCAGGAGGCTGCCCCGGTGCAGGAGCCAGGGCATGGCGGCTGAGGCGACCGAGCAACACGCCCGATCGATCTCCCAAGAGACGGCTAGCAGCGGTCGCCCAAAGGAGGACGACACCAGCCAAGGCGCCGCCCCAATGCCATCGAATGCGGATAGGACGATGATCCGACCGCCCTGGGGCTTACCCGGCGTGAGGCGGACCCGCTTTGCGGGGCTAGGGTCGGGTGCCGCGTCATAGCCCCCAGTTGACGCGGCCCCGTGTTGTCCCTAGCGCCACTTCTTTCCGCCCTGGGGGGCGGCCCAACGCCAAGACTGCTGCTGTTGGCCCTTCGTCGAGTCGGGCTGCTCCCAGGACGAGGCGGACCACGAATGGGATGCCCAGCCGTCCGAGCCCGAGTGGCCTGAGGGCGTCTCCTGCCAGGCGTCAGCTGTAGACCATTGCCCCTGCTTGGCCCCTTTGCCGCCCCTTGGCGCCTTTCTTGCCGCCCTTGGCCCCCTTCTTGCCTTTGCGGCCCGGGCGGGGGCGCTTGGGGGGCGGCTCCACCCAAGAGTCGTCGGCATCAGGGCTAGTCTGGGTAGGCTGCGGCCTGCCCTTGGTTCGCCCGTCGGGGCGGGGCGCGGCGGTCACGGCCTCGACATAGGAGGAGACGTCCGCCATGATGTCGGCGGTGGCGTCTTTGAAAGTCCTCCTTTGGCGGAGATCCATGGCGAGGCGCATCGCCATGGAGTCCCAATAGGACACCAGGGCGAGCAAGTTGGCATTTCTGCCTCTCGCCCGGCACTCCCACCAGGCGATATAAGACTCAATGTCCTCTTCGGCGCCCAGTTGGACGAGTATCCAGGCCCACTTGATGGCCTCTAGCCCGTCGCAAATGGCGATGACGGACTTGGGCTGCCACGGGCGTTTCTCTTCTGCCACCAGGCTGCCGCCCACGAGGTGGAGGGCAGCGGAAGCCGCCGAATCGCGGCGCCCGGCGGCGAGGGGGTTCAGCTCGTTGGCGGCGGTCCACGTCCTCTGAGACAGGATCTCGCCCAACCCCAACGGCGAGTATGCAAAGCTGACGGTGTGCTCCCAGTGGATCCTGGCGAGCACCTCCTCCGCCCCAGCCAGGCGGCGGGTAGGAAAGGCCCTCGGTCGCCCGTCCACGAGGCGGTCGTTGTAGGCCTTAACCAGGGTGCCCCACTCGGCGAAGTGCTTAGGCGGCCCAGCCGGCGCCGTCGGCGGGAACGGGAGCGGGCCGCCCGCCGCGGAAGCCGGAGCCGACGGGCCCGGGGCGGCAGTCGGTGCAAGCGCGGCCGCGCGAGCCGCAGCCCAGGCGTTCCACTGCGCCCTGGCCTCTTCCCACATGTGGGTGAGGACTGCCCTGGCGGTGGGCAGCT